ATTTAGCTAATTTTGACTTGAGTCACTGAAAAACTCTTATCAGTCACGTTTCCTCACATAAATTTTTTTTTGTAAGTTTGTTCCGTTAATAAGGGGTAGATCACTCTGAAACAGCTTTAATTTTTAAGTTGCATGTACGTTGCTGGCAAGTAGTTGAAGGAGGGGTCATCAGAGAGCGAACTCCGTAGAAGCTGTGCAGTATTTTCAAATACTTGTTTTTTCCAACCTTCACTTGTTTCTGCCCTCATAACTCCCAACCCAAATATTTACCCAGCATGAAGTCAAAAGCTAGATGGGCTACAGACAGTCAGGAGTAGCATCAATTTTTCACAAAATCAAAGATTTTTGGATTTTTTTTCTTTTTCATTTTTTGGACTGGCCCAAATGTCACAAAAGCAAGGTCTTCTTTCAGCGTTCTGGCACTTCAAAAGGTAAAATTAGAGTTTACCTCAACCAACTCTCTCATCTAATATATTGCCTGAAAGCTCTTGTCATGCTGAGAACGTCTGTGCAAACCGCACTTAGCTACAATTCTTAATTCTGGAGTATAAAAAATCGCTGATTCTGAAATTTGACCCCCGCCGTGTCCCTCCAAAATTTGTTGAGGACTGATGTATGTATTGTGTATCATTTAATGATTGAAAGTGTCAAGTCTCAAACACATCTACGTGATCTGAGTTTGATGATCTTCAACAACGGTTGCTTCGGGCTGACGGTGCAGTAGGGACTGAGAGAGATGGGGCTCTACCTAAAGGCGCAGGATTACTATGGGTGTGGTACTTAAATTAGTAGAAAAAAGAAGATCAAATCTATTTTGCACCTAGCTGGTTTAATTAGTAACCTTATCTTCTTTCCTTTTCACAGAAATAATTACCAAATGCCTGCAATTACTTTAATTCAATATATTACATGAATTCTAATCTCAAATAGCTCCTCTATGTAGAAGAATTAAGAACTAAGAAGTAAGAATGAAACCTTGGAAATTTGATCTCTATGAAATGAAAGGGCGCTTTTTGTATGCCTTTGTTTAGAAAATAATGAAAATATTTATTTGCGATTAAAAAAAAGAAAATATATAATATGTAATATCAAAATATTAATGAATTCGTTTTTTTGAAACAGGATGCAATGGAATATGCTGCAGAATCCAAGAATGCTGATATTGCGGAAGAACTCCTGGCATGGTTTTTGGAGCGAGGATCAAAAGACTGTTTCGGTGCTTGTCTCTTCCAGTGCTATGATCTCTTACATCCTGATGTCATTCTTGAACTTGCCTGGAGGCATAACATCATGGACTTCGCAATGCCTTATTTAATTCAAACTATCAGAGAGTACATCACCAAAGTAAGTCCTTCTCTAATTTTTGGTCGTATATCTCTGGGTTTGCTGACCCTCATGTTACAAAGTAAAGCCATGATAATCCGAACATGAAAGCCAACTGAAACTGTACATTAATTGTTCTGGCTAAAATTTTTAACTTAGAATTTGGATTTTTTTAATTAGCGGCACGTTTCAACTTTCATAATTCCAATAATTTCCTCTTCAAACAACGATTTTAAAGGAGAAACAAAGAAAACACTGATTGTTGAGAGTCATCAATTTTTTGTGTGGTTTTATTCCCAGTTTCAATTGCTCTCTTTGTTTTTCATGGTAGATATTTTCAGGATTTATAACTTGGAAGTTATACTTATTGCCAAAATTTCTACATTCTTTATACAGGGTCATTCAAAAGTCACGCGTCACTAGCCATGAAGGGGGTGGTCATTCGAAATTTTTAGTTGCGTCCTGCCCCTCCTCTCCCTGAGGGAGTCAAAAACTAGAAAGTACCTAAAAAAGTTTTCCCCTCGATATGAGGTAAAACGTCACAAACCGCAAGTCGATATCTTAATTAGAACTCAAGTTATGGCTACTGGTGCGTGACTTTTGAATAACCCTGTATCTACTGGAAAAGGAATCTAAGTGCTGACTTCGAACAAAATCGGATTTTGAAAATCTCAATTTTACAATAAATTCATCTTTAATATTACTGAGGTCGATTCAGAGGTATTTCTGTGAGCAAAAATATTGCTCTTGAACGGAGGAAAGGTTGAAAAGCATTGCTTGTTGAGCGACACTGTTGCTCTGTTCTCATTTATTTCTCGGCATCCCTGAATGAGCTCAACAAGTGAAGAAGCCATTTAAACTGCAACTATCTCCAGCTTTGAAGATCCTTGTCAAATTGTTTTTTTTTTTTTCCACAGACCCCTAAACCTTGTCAAGGATTGTTTTATGACTAAGCAATTTTCTGTTTATCATTGCAGGTGGACAAATTAGGAGAGGCGGAAGCGAAACGCGCTGAAGAACACTCAGAGCAAGATGTCAAACCTATGATCATTCCAGAGCCACAGCTCATGTTGACTGCAGGGCCAGGCATGATGGCCCCTGGCTATCCCTCCGCTTACACCAACTCCTACGCTCCTCCTCCCGGCATGCCGTATCAGAATTACGGAATGTAATCTCACCGGAGAAAAGTCATTAACGATCCTCTCTACTAATATTAAAGATGTTAATATTTATATCCTGTGTATTATCTCAGTTCCTAGGGTCAAGGAATATGAAAGGTATAGAAAAATCATTAACTAGGAAGTTGAACTTAGGAGTTAATTCAATCAATGAAGAGGCGCTATTTATAAAAACGAAACGTCTGACGTTATTGTTAAGTTTGGCTTCATCTCTTAGGACTCACTATGTTGTCTGTGTGTTTGTTCAATTTTTCTTTTGTGCTGTTGATATTGTAAAACCTCAGAATCTGTATAGTTGTAAGTTATTAAAAATCCCAGTGGATTCTGGATTTCATGGAGCTGTGACTTTCACTACACTCCAGTGTTCTTATACAATAGAACTTTGTAATTTGTTGGCTTTCAGATGTATTCTATTTAATGTATTTTGATCATTAGATGAATGATTCATTGTTATCTTTTATGTATCAATAATATTTACATTGAAATTATCGTCCTCTTTTATATTATCCTATTTAATTGTATTAGAATTGTAATTTCTTTATTTTTACTTCATGTTTATCCCTCCCTTTTTTTTCTGTTAAGACAATTATTACCTAGAGATTTTAAAATGATCAGTATATAAATATTTATACAATGTTGATATATTTCCTTTTTTTGTTTACATACTATTCATTTTATTTTATTTCCAGCTTTTCTTCATTATCAGACTGTTGTAGGAAATAGTCCCAAAAGAAAATCTGTACAATAAATATGTAGCATAATTTAAGACTCAACAAGGACTTATTTTTTCTTTCCAATTATAGTTATACTGATTTTTAAAATCTTACGTAGGACAAAGGTGATCCAAGTCTCAAGCTTACTGTTTTCATCTATTTGTAGGGCTGTGCGAGTACTCGAATTTCGAGTCAAACGGAGTATTGAGTGCTGGACTCGCCTTGGCTCGAGCGAGTACTCAAACTTGGCAGGAGTGCCGATAACACAAGTTTTTTTGAGTACTTGGAGCTTTTTGGACCCGGAAACGCCAAAAGAGCTCAATTCTCAAATATTTTCATCATCTTAATTTTTTGCCATCATATTTCGATTGAAAAATCATGTGTTAAAACCCAAAATTACTCGAGCTCGACTTGGCTCGAGGATCATTTTTAGAGCTCGAAAAAGCTCCAACTCGGCGCGAAACATTGAAAAAATACTTAAACCCCTAAAACCAGGCTCGCACAGCCCTATCTATTTGAATGGATCACTATACTGAAGAGGGAAGGCTCATAAGCGGGTGCTGCTGATTTCGATGCGGTTTGCAGTGAAGAATAGCTAAACCACAGTTGATTAATGTGTGCATGTTTACATACTTCCAGTCAGAAGTTGGTCATGGCACCCGTTTTTTTTTTATTTCATTTTCCGAAGTACATTGTGAACTAGGCTTTCCAGAATTTTCAATAAATTTTAAACCCTGAACAGTAAATGAAACTCATTCTGAAAATGACAAAAGGATGTATTTCTATCAAACGGAACTAAGCGCCAATTTGAGTTCCTTTTGAGGAATTTAGAATGCCGGATAGCGCGTTCTGTCAAACAGACCTAAGCGCCATGGAAAAGCATTGCGAGTATAGGACGGAATAAGCCGGACGCCCGATTCCGCCGCCAATCCAAGCCCCCCTCTACCTTCCTCACCCTATGGCGCTCAGGTACGTTTGATAGAAATACGTCCAAAAATAGGACCCATTTGAAACAAAACGTTTAGTGGGTTCTGATGACGTAATCAAGGGGCTTGGAGGACAAGGCGCATAGGTGCAGTTTTTGCTACTTTAAGAAGTACGTGTTTTAAGTTTTAAAATTATATGGAACTGGCAGAAAGGAAGTTTTAACCCACTTTTTGCTGCTTTAAAGTTGGATTATAGCACAGAATATACTTTCGAGCTAGTTTTAGTTGAGTTAATGAAAACCTCAATTTTTTTCAAAACTGCACTTTAGTGCCTTGTCCTCCACGCCCATCGCCTTGCTGCGTCAACTTCATTGCCAGCTTTTGGTTGGTCCGATTTTAATTGGCCTTTTCTCCCCGTAGACACGCTTTTATGAACTTTTTGGTTAATTCACAGTAGTATACTAGAGCCCTGTGAAAATTCTTTGCCACTGTCCGTTTCCTGAAATTTGTAGAAAGCTTCAGAGACTTCACTTAATGTGCCAACGGAGCAAATTACAACTTTTTAAATTCGTAAAAGAAGTTCTCTTCAGTATTTTGCTAGCTTCTAGAAAATCTACAGTAACTCAATTTGAACAAAAGATAAGCCAGTTATCAAAAGAATCTGGTTTCTGATTGAACACACCACATATCGTAGTTTGAAAAAATGTGTTCACGCATGAAATGAGCCCTACTGTAACTCAAGGAGGGTATTACAGGAAAAGAAAATGCAGGATAAGTGTTTTTACTCTCTTTATTAGCTTCTGCAAAACGCTGTGTAGAACAAATCATCGACCTCAAAATGCAGTGAAAAGATTTCTTAGTGGGTTCACTGCTTCTAAGCTTCAAAATGGATACTCACAGGTGAACAACCATCAAAGCACAGAGGATAGCTTTCATAAAAGAGATTTTTCAAAATAAACTATGAATTCAAGACAAGATTTTTTTTCAAAATTAACATGGAGGTAGAAAAATTATGGGTATAGAAACAAACTACAAGAAAAAATAGAGGATTTGCATGTGAGTATTATACAAAACATGTTTAAGAGCACTTGTAAACAGATTTTTGAAAGCACTAACACTTGAAGTCAAGCAAAATCCTACAAAAATCTTTGCATAAAATTCTAGGGTCTAGGTAAACAAGAATGTATTATGGAGATAGAAATATAACCAATTAGAATCACCGAGCAATATGGAAGTATTTCTTAGAGGACTACTGAATCAGAAATTTGTATAAACTTTATTATGAGGTGAGAATATACGGATAATTTCATACTACAACTTCTGACGCATTGTCTGCAAGGATAAAGAACCCCGCACAATCCTTATGGGAAATGGCTCTCTCTAAAATCTGATGAAACTTGGATATGTTGTTCGGCTAGTCATTCTAATCAAAAGTTCTCATGGGCCGAAAGAGATCCCATGAGCGGTTCCCGGGATATTCGCCATTTTATGTGCGTAAATTGAGGTTCTACTGGCTGGACCATTGTGCGGCGCCTCTTGTGCCCTTCCCTTCCAGTCCACTCTGGCCGCTTTCTGCTTCCCCGCCACCCATACTCGAGGCTCGGACTCCGNGGGTGGTCACCATAAGCGTCGGAGTCCGAGCCTCGAGTATGGGTGGCGGGAAAGCGGAGAGCGGCCAGAGTGGACTGGAAGGGAAGGGCACAAGAGGCGCCGCACAATAGTCCGGCCAGTAGACCTCAATTTACGCACATAAAACGGCGAATATCTCGGGAACCGCTCATGGGATCTCTTTCGGCCCATGAGAACTTTTGATTAGAATGACTAGCTGAGCAACATATCCAAGTTTCATCAGATTGTAGAGAGAGCCATTTCCCATAAGGATTGTGCGGGGTTCTTTGCCTTAATTTTTGACCAAAGTGGTGCACCAAAACTAAGAATGATTAGTTTCAAGATCTAGTTGTTGCTCAGTTGAAACTCGTCACAGGAAGCAAAAACGAGGGCATCCTTCGGTTTAAAATGAGCTCATTCAGAGTAGGTCAAAATAATTCAACAGAAGTTAGCATGTTTGATCATAAAGCGCCAGGGTATCTTTAAAAAACGAATTATTACAAAATACAGTAATCTGCTGATGAAAAAGACTTAAATAGCTATGGAAAATATCATTAGGAGTAAATGGTCATAGTTTCAAGGGAATTTAAAAAACAAGTAAGGTGGGTAAAGGATGGGTCAACACGTAGAATACAATGTATACATACATGTATACAATGTATATGTCAAAGGGAAATAGTCAAATCAGGCATTCTGTCAAATGCCTAGGCAAATAGTCACTTATTCTTACCAAGATTGAAATTTTGATTTTTTACCTTAATTTTAGACAAAATAATTCATTGCTCCTGTAAGAAAGAATTTGCTGTAAAAATATGCATCATACAATACAGTGAAACCTCGCTAAGTCGGTTTCCGGATAAGCCGGTAACCCGCTTTAGTCGGTAGAATCGCCCGGTCCCGTTTATCACCCATATAACACAATGCTAAATAAGTCTCGGTATCTCGGTTTGGTCAGATTCTGAACCCGCTTAACTCGGTGAAATTTTTCCATCTCGACCTGTTTTTCTTCGATCGTCACCCGTGATCAAGCGTAGGTAGTGTTTCCGTGCGCGGTGCGGGTCGGGTCAAGTTACGCCACGAAGGGTGAGCGAATCTCCGAGAAAGCGCAGCGCAGTGCGAGAAACGACATCGGAAATAGAGAGATAAGGAATCAAAAACACTCGATAACGACACGAAAGATGAGAACAGTAGAGATTAGGATATCTGATACCGCGTGTTATCTTATCGCGCGTGTGAAAAAACGCATGCATAATTAAGCAATTTCACGCATCGATGAGTTGACAGGTCAAGTCGGCACCGGCCCCTCTCCCCCTACCATCTTGCATTGCCCTTCCCCGCTCCCCCCAGGAATCTTCCGCAGAGTTTTTCGGAGATTTTAGCGAGTATTGATACGTTGCATTTTCAGTTCAACGACCCGCCATAGCGGGTGGCCGCGGCGCATCACCGCGCGGCATGCCGCGTGGGGTGCGCGGGGGGTGATACGCAATGGGGTGCCGCGGCACCCCAACATACGATTAACTCGATGACTTCATGATGCCCTGACACTTACAACACGCAATTTCAAGTGCATCTCATGAAATTTTACTCTTTAGTACCATTTTCTTCGATCAAATGGCTCTCCTAAACACTCCTACAAGTCACTCTACACGCACGTTTGCGTTTGTCCAATTTAGGGCGCGAAATTTGAAAAAGCGCGGCAGGAAAAGTGGTAGTCCGCGTAAGTCGGTAACCCGCTTAACTCGGTAAATTTCCTCGGTCCCGATGAAAACCGACTTAGCGAGGTTTTACTGTAGTATTTTAAATGATTTTAAGATATTGAATCCACATCTCTCATGAAATTTTCAGCATGTCATAAAACATAGAATTTTCAAAATTTCAAAATTTAAATGTACATGCTTTGGCATGTAAAAAGGAAGGAACAAGGAGAGTTCGCAGATTTCAAGAGTTGTTCTTCCCAAAATATTGAAAACCCGTGAATTCCTCGCCATAAATATACAGAATTCCTTAAACTGTCAAAATTTGACTACCGGCCTAGGCATTTGATAAAATGCATGTTTTGACTAAGTGCCTTCAACATATACAGACATGTATACATTGTAAAAACATTGGCTTTTAGTACAGAATTCTCGAGTTGATCAAGCGACTAGTCATACAAAACAAACAATTAAAAATAGAACAATATAACGGCATAAAAAAACAAGACAAAAAATGCTGACTGGATACTTCTGAACCGATCAAAATCAATTCTATTCCGCCATGCTACAATGTGCGTCCCTCTCCGGATCAGCCATTGTGGAAGGCGATAAAAAAGCATATACTTCTGAACCGATCATTATCACTTCTATTCCATCATGCTACAATTTGCGGTCCTCTCTGGGTCAGCCATTCTGGAAGACGATAAAAAAGCATTAATGAGTGATGTGTAATATTAAGCACTATATACAAGGCACACTCACTGGTCAAGAGCTTTTTAATTAGAAATTTTTCAAATTTTAGAGAGGGGTTTCGAAGAAAATTCAAAGTGAGATTTTTGAACAAGATCAATGATCTTAATAAAGGTGGCCATTGCTCTATGATTCAAAATCACAGACCCACTTTTGTAGATAAGCTGTGCCCTTTTCCATACATTGAAGCATTTCTCTTGCAACTTCTACTCTGTGTTACAACAAATAGGATTCTTCATTTTACATTATCTATTTAATGTAGTATAAAAGCTGAGGTTTACTAGTTGTATTCAGGGATAAAAATTCGTCTTAAATGTGGACTAGTATAGAAGTAAACGAGGAAAACCTTTCCAGATTATAGGGCATTTGAGTTCTGCCAGTCCAAAATCCAGAATAAGAAATCCTGATTTCAAAAGATAGAGCATTGTGGAAACACTATTTTAAATTAGAGAACTGATTAACCCAAAGATCATGGTCCAAAAATTTTGAGTTACAGTGAGAAAATTCAGGATTTCCAAAAATTTATTTTCTAATTCCTTCACTTCCCTTGACTTAAAAATTTTTGAACTTCCCGACTTTCTCTGGCCAATAAGCTCAGATTTTTTTTCTTATGATAGCACTGACTTCCCCTAAACTTGGGACAAAATTTCCATATCTAGAGAGTCAAATTGTGGGTAAAGGTATTCAGCAGTTGTACTTGCTCTCTCCAATATCACAGGCTTTTTCCACAGCAGTTAAGAGGACTGATAATATAGCGGATGTGGTCTTCTCTTAAAATTGCTGTATTTTAATCGACATTTGCATCAAATTTGAAGTTCTTCAGCTCAGCTTTTAGAGGATGATTTGCTCTATAATGAATTCCTTGACCAAACCCTATTTGCTTTACAGAGGTTGAAATGCACAGCTTTGAAGAGTTCGCACGCAATTTTCACAAGACTTAAAACTTAACCCTCAATGGCATAGCGTTACGAATTTGCAGCAACATATTTTTTGGGTTTTTAAAAATGAAATCTGACCTCTGTGGCATGGTTTAGCAAATTTTGATTAGTTTTTTTTTTTGGTAGAATAACTTATTCTATTCGAAAAAAATGATAAAAAATTTGAATGCTCACCGGAAAATAGATAGATCATCAGAGGGGTCCACTGTTGAGCAATCTTGCGGAGTCAAGAATATAAACTGACTGCGAGATTTTTCAGCAAAACCAAGTAACATTTGGACGATGTGTTCGCGATTGACATTGTCCTGTTAAACATAAAACCAAAAATTCATAAAACTAAACAAGTTAAAAAAGACAGCATGAAAAGTTACAAGGGTACGCTGGGTACTAGTAAAATATAAAAGACATGCTTGTCAAGTGTGTTAACTTGTTTGACATAAAGTACTAAAATCAAAGTTGACATTTGAAAGGGAAGCACAAAAAAGTTAACTTATTAATATTTTGAAGGAAGTAAAATAATTTTACCAGGTTACCTTAGAGAAACTCACCTCTTTCAGTTTCTCAATCATGACTAAAATTTAATTACAATTGAGCTCTTGCTGCTAGAACCAAGAAAATTGAGTCTGCTTTAGACCAAGAAATAGCCAGAACAGAGGGCTTCTATATTGCGTCTATGTTCGTAGATAGTGACACACATACTACGGAATGTTTGAATAGGCACCTTCAATGCATTGATCAAACTACATAAATACTCCAGTTCTACTTTAGAATCCAGGAATTCAGTATGGAGGAAAAACTGCTGCCGCAGAGAGTTCAAGATGACGATAAAATGCTATTTGGCAATAAAATGTTTCAGATTCCGCTCAGCCACTTCTGTTTGAGTGTATTTACAAAAAGGCAGAGTAAACGAGATCTTCTCCCTTTTCTTCCTTTTTTTTAAAGGTATGATGTAGGCCAATGCAAAGGTGTTCAGAATCAATCTGAAAAATTTGAAGGGATAAGAACACTTCCTTTTCAACTATTGTTGATTCTTTCCAGCCCGGAGTCCGGCAAAAATTAATTAATTTTCCATGAGCAAATGAACTGCCAGATGGTTTACTGTCTGAGAATAATAACACAGCCTCTTCACTGGGAGTCAATTTTGGGAAATCTTATTTTTCTGACATTCAAATATGTTATATACAAAACATTGGTTAATCAATTAATTTCTTTGATAATTTAAGGCTTTCCAATAAAGCCCTCAACACATCCACTGTTTCAATGAAAAATAACACAAAGGCCAGAGTGAATGATTTTCAAAATGAAAATAAAACCAACCATGAACACATCAAATTCATCCATACTATAGAAGGGAATGTTGGTGACACTCCACAGAGACATGATGAAGGCTACAGATGAGTATGATCTCTCTCCACCAGATAGCGAAGTCGTATCCACAGATTTTGACCCCCCATCAGTGGGGGAAACCATGATAGCGATTTCCTTCTTTTTATGGTCGATATCAAGGGCACCCTGAAAAAAAAAATTGAAGTATTAGTGTTAAATATTAATAAAAAACAGAAAATTCAGATTGGATGTACTCAGATTGGATGTACATCCAATAGGTACTGTGCCCCTCTAAATAAACACCTTCCTAATGTGTAGCCAAGTGCAAAAACTTAAGACAGTCAACCGAAAACCCCCACTCGGCGATGTAAGAATTGCCCCGATAAGTCAAACTTTTACATTGTCCTGTCAAACTTTCTCATACGGGTGATGTTTAAGATTTATGGCTAACTTGAACTGCAACCAAAATAACATCTGCTGAACTTGAACAAATTTGTCCCCACAGGGATTAATTTTTCTCCATTTTCAACAATTAAAGCCAAATCATTGCAGGTTCGGAAGAAGCCAGTCACAAAGATTATCCGATCAATAACTCTGATGATCTACTGTGGATCAGATTCAGTGTTGCTGAGTACGACGCAGGAGTTCATGCACATTCATGTACACTTAATTGCGCAATCCACTTAGACAAGATAATAAAACAACAGAAGATAGAGAATGAGCCACCGATTAAACGACATTGGAAGGGGAATCATCAGACGAGAAGTGCATACCTCAGATTGCAATATTATAAGTATCCGCTTCTGTTCCACTTATTCAAAAGGAAACTAACCATTAGTTTCTTTAGACATTTTCTGTGAATTTTCTTCCCTCATTCTTGAAAATATCACAAGCAAATGCGAGGAGACGTTTTGATTAGTTTTTCTTTAAGAAAATAAAATATAATAGGGGATTTTTAAAAATTGCAAGTGTTCGCACTAAGCCATCACTATGTATGATGCACTGCAATAGAGACGAAAGAAAAATCTCATTGAGGAAGAATTGGTGGAGCAGTGCAATTATTCTATTTTTGCATTCTGATGCTCTTTCTTGTAAGCGGCAAGCCAAGTGAGGCAAAATCAGCCATGCTGTTCCACGGCAGGTGAATAATAAATGAAAATGACAGTATATACTTTAATGAATTATGATAAAATCACGACTGCTGCCAATGCAATTTAAAATACCTCACCGGCATGCACTCATGTGCTTACCTATCTGAAATCAGAGACCAATACCACTTTAGTTTCTTATTTTTGCTGCAAACATAGTAGAGGCTAGGTCCTGTTAGCTGAATACTTCTTGGTAAATACTGATATGTGAACACTTCCGTGGCAGTGAGGTTTCTTTAAAGAAAATTTGCAGATGCTATGATTTTACCAAGATTCATAAAAATACATGTTGTCATATTCGTTTAGTATTCACTAACCTTTGTACAGCATGACTGATTTTGCCTCGGCTGGTTATTTTTGCGCCAGCAAATTGTTTTAAATTGTTTTTGCAGGTGCTGTGACTTTATATTGATTCATCATTGAATTGTTACAGTGAACCAAATCGCTCTATATATACTTTCATACATATATTAACACCCATCTGTCCAACTCAGCTGTACTTGGAAATTTGCTGGAAGACATTCAGCCAGGAAAATTTTTGGAATCCTTGCAGAAATTTCTATGACGTGACATGGGCGTATAAATTTTTCAATTTTCGCTTAGATTGGACTCGAACTTGGTTCTGCTACAGTTCCTATTTAGAAGAGGTTGACTACGACACTATTTAAAAAATTGGATTAACTATTTTTATAAGGGGAAAAAGTTGCACGACAAAAAATATTGCTCAACTTACTTGGTACTTCCTCATTTTAAGTGCCATCTGGAAGTGAATCTTGACATCTGCTGTTACAAATTGAATGTTTTTTGTGCACATTTTGCTACGAGTAAGAGCCAATCTATCGTAACGCTGGAAGCAAGATACATACATCCATCACAATTATGATAAAAATCTAAGCATGATTTACTTAAATTACATTTAATGCCTCTGACTATACTGAATTTTTGTGTTCCAACTACACACATTGAAGAACTTTCTGTTAAAGATAACATCTCATTAGGATAGAGACCTAGATCATCAAGACAGGCGCAAAAATATGGACCAAAGTCCAAACAAAGGTTGGAGGTATTATATTATGTGAATTCAAGCAACGAAACTACTAAGAGATGTATTTCAAAAGAAGGTATGACTTAAAAAAAAAAAAAAAAAAAAAAAAAAAAAAAAACATCCTCGAGTCTCATTTTTGTACGTACATATTTTACTGGAGAACTTTTGAAGTTATGCGCGAAAGCTAGAGCTACATGTACGGGGGATTCTAAAACGGTCACCAAGAAAGCTGACAGGTGGTGAGCAGACTCTGATAAAAATTTTTTCCTGCTCTTGAATTGATGTCTTAATAACGGCAGAGCAAACATTTTTGAGGACCTATTTCAACAGTGATGCTACATGTCAATCCTGGGTAATTTGAATGAGCTAAAACCTCCACCTTTTTGAGCATGGGGTTAGTGACAGAGATAGTTGTTTCATCTCACCTCACTTTCCACTCAATGGCAATTTAGATTAGCTGTTTCTTGATTAATAGTGAGGAAGTAAGTCTTTGAAAGCGAGTTATGGTGTGGCTCATGCAGGCTGAGATTTGAGAAATTTACGATTATATTTTTTTAAAAGAAAATAAATGAACTATCAATAAACTGAAAAATAGTTGATTATCTCAGAATACGCGTGCCACCAACACAGAGGCAACAGACATCTCACAGAGATAATGGGGCAAAAATTCTTGTCTTTATTAGGGGATTCTGTAAGTTCTGGATGAATTTATTTTTTTCATGATTTCCGCCATTTTCAAGCCCAGCAGGCACCCAGCAAGTAAAGAGATAAACAATAATTCGAACCTTAATTTTTTTCCATTGCTACTTGGAAATTCTCGCACTAACTCTTGCTGTGAGGTTAAGCGCCCTTTTCTATTCATGAGTAAAAGCATGTAGATACATCTTACGAAAATAGAAGCCCCCTTTATCTCCTAAAAAAAAAGGGGGGAAAAAAGCGAAATTCATCCTCCACATTTTTCAAGATCTCATTCAGATGTTCTGTAAGTTTGGAAATACGAACCTCAAATAATGCTGCTAATTTTTCCTGGGCTTTTGTAATTTTCTTGAGAGAGTTTCTCTTCTGTAGAATTTCTATTTTAAGTTCTTCATACGAGATATGCGACTCCCTACCAGCTTCTCTGATATGTGCCTCCACTTCTCGGTGATCCCGGTCAATGGTTGCCATATCGCTGGAATAATAAGTCAGGAGTATCCATAAGGAGTGGTCAATAACATGAGAAAAAAGCACAAAAACATAGCCCGAATATACGAATAAAGAGGAGATTTAATTAAAATATGGGTAAATAAGGCTAAAAGATTATTAAAACACTAAAACACAGGACGTTTCGAGCTGTTACCAGCTCATTTTCAGCTGCGAAAAACCTAAAAACAAGTAAAAAATTGAGTGGCGACCTGACCCCAGCCGTTATCACGTAACCACTCTAGTAACCACACTAAGTGGTTACGTGATAACGGCTGGGGTCAGGTCGCCACTCAATTTTTTACTTGTTTTCAGGTTTTTCGCAGCTGAAAATGAGCTGGTAACAGCTCGAAAGGTCCTGTGTTTTAGTGTTTTAATAATCTTTTAGCCTTATTTACCCATATTTTAATTAAATCTCCTCTTTATTAACATAAGAACTATGCTAAAACCAGTATTATGAAATTGGAAGTTGGTTCTTTTACAAGGAGAGAGTTAAAGTGTCGACTTGGAGGATGCTCCAAAGACAGTTTCAGAATGGGCCTCTAGACAAGGTATGAATTAAAGCACATTTTTTCAGCACATTCGACAAAGCATCCGTCATTTGCATGAGTTAACTTCCATTTGATTTGTGTTAAAAATACTTGTTAATATCCTGTTCCGTAACTAATTTCCGAGCTTTCTGTTGTGTGAAAATGTTCTACCTACATAAAATTTTGAAGAGGAAACATATAATGTTCGTTTCTAGTTTAGACCTTATCTAGTGATCTGTTACATTCCAGCACCACACAGGGTAAAAATCGGTCTCGGAGCTACCAAAAATCTTAAATGCTTAGGATAAATATCAATCATCTTCGACTTTGCAAGAAATCAACACGCTCTATAATTCAGCCATCTTAGGATGATTGTCTTAGCCCTTCAAGATGAAAAGAGAGAGAATAAGAAGAAGGGAAAAAAGACGTATCCCTTACAGTGATTTGATGCAAATTTGTAATTAGTATAAATGAAGTTGAGAATTCAACGAAAATCTTGACTTTCAGAAGGGTTACTGCTCACACCATTTTTTGAGTGTTCGAGCTCAGTTGTGTGGCGTGAAGTTTTTCTCTTCACTCATATACAACCTGCTGGCTGATAGTTGAAATTGATAAAAAAAGAAGACGCAGAGAGTATGGAGTGATCCTATTGGTTGAAATGTGTGATTCTTATAGACTAAGGTAGAACTAACTATGACTATGATGAACTAACTGATGGGTCTTTCGTGGGTTGCCGTTAGTTACTCTATTACCTGCTTCCTTTGTCCATTTCAACCACCTACTTCCACTAATGGGATGCCTTCATAACCCTTTTGTCTTCTTTGTATAAATTTCAATCATCAGCCCGCTGCTTCTCATTTTTCTCATTGAAGCTCATGAGGCAATGAGGCATACAAAACAAACAGAGGCCACAGACTGCTTTCCTTTTTATGATTGTTTTCCTGATTGGTTCTAAGCAGATATTAAGGCGTGTGCCTATCAGGGTAAGACCTCCTGTCATGCCACTGATGGTACTTCAGGTTATCCTATCAGTATGATCTGAATTTTTCTTTTCCTTTTATGGTTAGACATCGCAAACTAACAAAAAAAAATTATAATAATAAGAGGAAAAAATTCAGATTATAATGCTAACCGAGTTTCCATTTCCGGACCAAGCTTGGCTGCTTCCTGTCTTTCAGTTTCTTCTTGTTTCTTCAAATCTTGTATTTTTTTTTCAATTATCGTTATTTTTTTTAAGGCTTCAACCACCCTGTTATTCAAACGCTTCTTTTCAGCCACTAACTCTTTCAGCTGATCCTTCTTGGCATCAAGCTCCTTGGAGATTTCAGAATCTTCACCGGTGCTAACAAATTTTTGTGTTTTTTCACAGGCCTCCCTTGAGGAGGCCATTTGCTGTTTTAACACTTTAGTTTCGTTTTCGAGGTTGCTGATTTTTGTCTCGGTTCGTGTGATATCGTTTTTCAGGTCTTGTAATTCACCTTTTAGAAGAGGCAAACGATACTCTTCGGTGTCCGTTTCTTCCTCATTGTTGAGCTCTCGCCGAATGTCAGCCATTTCCTTTCTTTTGTCTCCAGCTATACGTTGCCACTTTCTTATTTGAGCTTGGTTTGCCTCCAATTCTTGTTGTAATGGCGGAAGTTTATCACTCTCTAAGGCAATCTGTTGGTTGATTTCTTCAATTTTTTCTGTCAATGAATTTCGTGCTTCATCAATGCTAACTTGGAGCCATTGGCTGCGATGATTTTTACGGGGATCTAACCCATCGTACTGACGATAGCTAGGGGCTGGAAAGTAAGTGTCAGCAAACTTGTTGATGCACCTGGTGCAATTTCTCGGGACTCTTTGAACATTCTCCATCAAGTTACAGATTATGTCATTATTGTCAATCAGAAGGACAGTTTCAATGACACGAAAGTCGATGAGGGTATTTGCAACATCTGGATCACTGATTTCTAAAGCTCCAAACAAACTTTGGTACTGTTTGTACTTGACCTCTTTGTTGTGTACAGGATACAGTGTGTTGTTAAATGTTCCACAATGTATATCCGGCCTTCTCTGATTGCGGCAAACCTCTCGCATTATCCTCATGAGAGTGTCATTGTCTTTTGAATTGTCAACAATGAAGCTTTTCAACAAATCCGGTCCTAAAAATCTCTCTATTGCTGGACCCCATTCTGCATCCTGCACTTTGACATACTGACCGAGAGGTCCTTTGGGTCTATGCTTGAAAGCACCTCGAGCACAGGCTTGATTTATCCGTTCGTTAAGTTGCTGCATAAAGGGACCATAAATATTCAAAGTATTTCCAGCATCTTGTAATTGGGATAACTGATGGCTTAAACTCGTTTTTTCTCTCTCAAAGCGCTTAATCGTTTCCCTGATTTCAGACATATTTTTTGACGTGTTTGCTGCTGTACTTCTCAGCACAGATATTTCCCTATCTGCTTCTTGAACAATTGAAGCTATTTCTCTTAGTTGTTCCTCTAACCCTTCTCTCTTTTTTTTTATCTGAAGAAGCTTTTCGCTATTTTCGGAAGAGGAGGATTCAAGCCTTGTTATTTCCGTTTCTAAAGTGGTCATGTCATTCTTTTTCCTATCCATTTCTTTAGTTGAACTTTTCAATTCATCAGCTTTGGTGGCATATTCCCGCCTGATGCGCTGATATTCCTCACGCTTTTGCTTGTGAGCATCGATGTACTCTTTAATTTTGCTCCGATTTTCGTCTACAATTTGCTCCAAGTCAGCTATATTTTTCTTCAATTCATCTTCTCCTTCTATTTTTACATCCAGAGATTTCTGAAAATCTTGATGTTGTGCAGTTTGATTCTCTAAATTTGCTTCTTGCTCACGAATTTCATTTTGGCGTTTGTGAACTTTAGCCCAAAAGTATTCTGTTTTAAGAGTCTCTTCTTTATTCCTATACTCTTCCACTCTGCGAAGCAACTTTTCTTTTACTTCCAACTTTGAGAGCTCATTTTCTAGATGCTCCTTTTCTGATGTTCTCACATTAATTCCCTCATTGATGGCTATTTTATGATTAATTATTTCTCTGAGTAGACTTTCCATCTCATCAATCTGAGTTCCTCTTAGAAAAAATTCATACTTCTTTGCAGCATTTGTACTAGCGAAAAATGTTCTAGCAGTATCCTGATTCAAAATGGCAACAGGATTAAAAACTTGAATCTGGAGATAAGCTAGCATCCGGTCCAACTCATCTTTCTTTGCAGAAATCAAATGGCCTGAAACAAAGAATTAAACGATAAGATGTTAGCTAATAGATAAATTGTTCACATGAAACTAAATGTGACTTCCGAACGGTTATGGTAGATGACATTGGACTAAACAATATGCATTTTAACAGTAATGCTAATGATACAATTTTGATTTTAGTTAATATATCGAATGAAAAATTTTAACTAGAGGTACCTGGATTACGTACCCTTATAGGATTCACGAGTTTTGATAAAACAAAAATCTATAGACCGCCAAATCCACTAGGAGGGAAAACTCATCAAAGGCTGGATTATTGATACTTCACCCCCCATATTCCCATGGAGCATCTCTTGTGAATTAACGGTCCAAATTCAGCCAATAATTTTTTAAAAAATGGTGCCCACCTGATGTCAAAACAATTTATCTTTAGCTACCAAAGGAGGAAAAAAAGGAAAAGAGCAAAAAGAAAAGGAAAAAAGGCACAAAAAAAAAGTGGGAAAAAGAAAAACTTCTAGAGCTTCATCAATCTTAAATCTAGAAGAAAACTTAGGCACTAGGGGTCTATTTAGATTCGATCTAAAATCAATATTTCCCGAAAAAGCAACAAGACTTTTCTTCTTCCCAGAAAAGGTTATTTTAAAAAACTGTAGATAGAGATCAAGGCATGCACAATTGAGGACACCGCACCAAGAACAGCCTATAACTGGAAACCGCGTTTTGAGAAAAACGCATTGAAAGTTTTGTTTTTGATGTACTGCGCAGACTTTTCTATGCAGGTACCCTGTTTTGGTGTTTTTGGGTGACCTAACCCTTCTATTGAAGGATGCCGGGTAGATTTTGCGATACATTTTGGGTTTACACTCTAATACATTTAATTTAAAAAAGCGGTTTATAGGCCATTATTAAGCCCAACAGTCATTTTGATGGCAATATGAAGTATAAATCATTTTAATCACGCATGATTAACGTAAAATGAAAGAATATTGATAGTGAGTAAAGAAAAGGGTAGTGATAGGCCCGTTTATAGGGCATTCTTGCACCCATCGATCCAGAGGCCTGACTTTACTCAGAAAAAAAAAGGTTTTTCGACCTTGAGCCATTACCTATCTATATTCTATCGCTACCACAGCATAGTCCAGGGTACGTAGAATCCGAAAAGCAGATGGGCGTAATAACGACCTATACGCCTATAAGCTGTTCTTGGTGCGGAGTCCTCAATTAAAGACAAGTAAGAATTAGATGCATTTAAATCAGGAGGAACTATCTCCACTGTGACCTAAGGCCTTATAGGCCCATAAGAATTCATGCTCTACAGGGCCCATGTCACATTGGAGACAGTTCCTTTCGATTTAAATATGCCTACTTCACACTTATGAATTTCGTTTTTGAACTTATTTAGTTGTTTGGACTGGGAGAAGTCACCAAATCCTTACCTCTTTCACTTTTGAGTTTTAGAGAACTCGATGATTCTGAAAATGTCCTAGAAATAATTATTTTACTGCCATACATCTCGGGTCTATACGCACGATCTCCTCTATTGTCCAGAACAATTTCAATGGCAGCAGTGTGACACTTCGTTTTGATGAGTTCTGAAAAAATTACAGCAGATTCAGTACCTATGAAATTACTAGGTGTTGTGTTTCTCATTTAGGTGTAATTCTCTCATTTAAGAGTCTAAATACAAATAATTAGAATAGATAGAACCCAGCAAAGACTTATTTGAATCAGTTCTCGGTTAAACCTTACTATCTTCTGGAAAATTTCCCTTCTTGACCTCCTGATTAAAAGCCTCAACAGGCACAAGGTCTTGAAAATTCTAGTTGTCATTAAGTGGGAGGCTGAACTGTTCAAAGATCATGATTTCCGGGAGAAAATTATTCTTAAATTATGAACAATTAACTTCTTGAACTTTGAGAGGCCCTCCACAAACTTCTGAGCGACAGATGGAAACTTTAATTTTCGGTGATTCAACACTTGCTTATGGATAAATATAAGGCAACAACGGTCATCACTCTTTTAATGGCTGTATTGATCGACCGACTAGGTGGATGATGAGCTTTGGGTGACATAATGAGCCGAACAAGTTTACCATACTTTAGTTTGTTTACAAAACAAACGTACTGGACTTGTTGTTAGAACCATCCAACTTGTAGGTGGGCCAACAGTTGGATGTTGTAGTTCTGAAAGTAAAAGCTACCATCATTGCCAAGATAGCAATGGAGGGACCTGGTCTCAAATCATGTAGATATAGCAGTTCTGCTTCATGACTCAGGTCATTCAGGTGTCATAATGGATGAAATTCATCACTAGGTGGCCAAAGGAGGAGAGTAAAAGGGACTGAGAAGGTTTTAAAAATGAATCATGAGCCTCAAAAACCCATTTTTAGACTTAACGGAACAAAAACCAATCCATGGACTAAGGTTCATCATTTTCTCATGGATTGGTCATAATAATGCCCTTGTGTGTCCCAATACCCGCACGTTGATCGTTGAAACTGATAAACAAATAAGAAAAAAGGAGTATGGAGCGGTCTTAGTAGTTGAAATGTGTGGTTCTTGTAGACTAAGGGAGAAAATGATGAACTAACTAGAGGGTCCCTCGTGGGTTGCCACTAGTTAGTCTATTACCTACCTCCTTTTTCCATTACTACCACTCGCTTCCACCAATAGGATCCCTCCATATCCCTTTTGTCTTCGTAAGGGCTTTTCTTTGAATGATCCGTGGTACCATCGATCACCAAAATGTGTTCTTAAACTAATCCGTCAGCTTTGATGTCAGGACCGTTGGTTGATCGGCCAATGGATTTGGTACCACCGATCACTGATCGGAGGTAGCGATTTCTCCGATACAAGTTCTATCAGTAGATCAGCTAACCTACAAAACTCGTCTCCTCGTGGTTGATCGGTCAGATTTTTTTTTTGTAGGTTAGGAATTTGCTTTTGTTAACGATTGTATCCATCCGAAGGAGAAAAGTTCTCAAACTACCGACTGATCGGAGGCCATCGATGGTCAAAATGGCGACCGATGGATTTCCACCGGTACTTTCACTGATCATTAGAAGAAAAGCCCTTTTGACTATCGCTTTGTCTGCTATTTTCAACGATCAGCCTGCGGTATCCCATTCCCATACATGCTTCCTCTGTATGCCATGTTGGCTAAAAGGTTTAACCCTTTGAGTACAACGCCCGAGAATACTCGGGTTGCGGCAAGCCACCGTCACAGACCACGCCCGAGTATTCTCGTGCTGCGCCTCGCGTTCGTATTTCCCGCTCTAGCTCCCTTGTTTTTCAATGAAATTAAGCATACAGCATATGCGCACTCTGTCGGCAAAGATATGAACTACACCTTTATCTTATCCTTGACAGAGAGCGCCACTATCGGCGGCCGTATTCCTAACGCGGCCGTCAAAGGGTTAATCATAAATTCTTTGTATTGGGCTTGGTCCATTGGAAAATAAGGAAAATTAAATTGAATTTTTTAGTGCAGAGGCAGATAGGTCTTAATGCTCGCAATGTCCGACCTGCTAATGAAACCTAAGGACTTCGACCGCAAAAACTTGAAAGTACCTATGCAATTTTAGACTCTTTTCAATGACTAAATTAAGATATGTTTCTTGGTTTGGAGAATAAAAAGGTTTTTTGGTTCAGAATTTATATAGGTAAGAAGATTTAACCTTTTCCCCCCTTAATGCCTATCAATTTTTTTTAGGGCCTGAATATTTAGGAAAAGATGGGCTCTGGTATGAGCGATCAATACCTGCAGTTTAAAGCTCATTGGGGGGGGGGAGGGGGGAGTGTTAAGTAACAAGTAAACAAAAGTAATACTTTCACATCATGCTACTTGGTGGGCCATACCAACAAGGGAAGGCAATTTTTGAGAAAAGTTTATACCTCAGAAAATTCTTAAATTGACCAAGGCAATCAAACCTTAAATTTTTGTCCGTTTACCCTAGAACACTGGGTAAACGAGTCTGAGTCTGATCTTGGCTGAAAAGGCATAGAACATTTTTGTAAGACTTCATCAAGTAGCAGCCATATGCAATTTCGCACACTTGTTTTTTTAGGTTTCATACACCTAAATAATTTCTTGAATGGGAGACAGGTTGACTATTCACTGTTTAAAAGCGCACCTTGTCATAACTAAAATGCTCTTTTTCTCAAACCTACCATCTTAGTCAAAAGTCCTTTTACCAGAGGACTCCTCAAAAGTAAAGATTATTAGACATGAAGGTCGTCAATTTTAAAGACTCCTTGATAAGAAGATGGAGGCTTTAGGAACTATATTTTTTTGGGGGGGGGGGGGGGATTATCATGGTTCTAGAAAATGGACCACTAGATACGGTACGAATTTCAGCATTCTGATACATGTTTCTTACCCAAATTTTCAGGTAAAACACAATGCGCACAACAGAAATTCCCGAAGTCAACTCCTTACGAAGATATTTAATGATTCTTGGTGCGTGAATTCAAACTACCTGCTCATGAAAACTCAATGCTCTACATGATTTACATCGCACGCTAAACGTTATCATGACAGTCTCTACAATTTACAAATCTGGCAACCTCAATCTCGACGCTTTAGCTCAGCTATAGCAGACTTCTCATAGTTTGAACAACACATGGTGGGAAATGAACATTGCTCGATTGAGAGGCTTGCTGAACCCGTTGTAGAGTGCAAGTTGACTCACGTAGAGCTTTGAGTTCCTTGAAAGCGGGCAGTTCAAATTCCTCGTTACCAATGTAAAATAAAAACGTTAGTATCTTTGTTAGGAGTTGATTTCAGTGATTTTAGTTGCACGAATCGTGTTCTATGTGAAATTCTGGTCAAGAAATATGTATCAGAATGCTTAAAGTCATACCTTGCCTAGTAGTCCATTATGGCAGAAAACAGATTCTGCATCCTAAAAATTATTAAATAATTAATGACACTTACTTTTCAATGAAACAGCTCTATTTGTTGCTGCAGCCCTGGCACCCAAGGCGATACATATAGCAGTTTGTATGGCACTTTTACCAGAGCCATTTTTTCCAATGATTAGATTTGCTCGCGGATTTAATTCAAATTGTAAGTTCCCGTGGCACATAAAATTGGTCAAACTTAACTTGAGAATTGTGCCAGCACACGTCTGAAAAAATCGCAGAAGACTTATTAAATACAAACCAGTTATTGATTGATTGAATTACTTAGGTGAACAAGAAGGTCGGATATTGCATTCATTAGAATTGCTGAGAGCAAAACAATAACAGGTTGTTTATAACATTGGTGAGGGTTTCAAGGATCTTCATTTTGCAACCTTTTCAGAAGGGTAATGGGAGGAAAATCATTAGTCAGATACTCCTTCTGTTTTTAATTGACAGATCAGCTCATTGTTTCTCATCTATGTTGAAGTGAAAAAATCTTCAATGTCATAAGGCGTACAATGCACTTTTTCTGGAAATACAAATTTTTAACAGAAAAAGAAGAGGGAGAAGCAAATGATTCAGTTTGACTGGTCTTCCAAAAACCTACTGTAAAAAATAAGAACCAGGATTTTTTGGACATAAAAAACTACTATCAATAACTGCTACTGGAAAATAACAAGCCAGAAATTTCGAATACGTAGAGTACGGGTGTAATTTGAAAAATAACTCTAATTCCTTTTCTTTTCATCGTTAAAATGGTCAAAATTAGAGTTGGACAATTTAAAGTACAGAGCTTCAAAACGATTCATCTGCTTAAATAAATTTTAGAGCTCATTGTCGTTCTTTTCTGTTAGCTAGCATCGATGAACAAATGTCAAAAACGTCATGGAAATTAAATGTTTCAGGATCAGTGGGTCTAGAATATTTCCTCCAAATTTGGAAATGTTTCCAACCGGCAATATAAAATAGGAAAATACGTAATCTGGATTTTTAATATGTTGATGGCCCAAGAGTAAAACCACACATCATTACAGGGTTTCAAAATGCTCAGTGCTTGTATCTTTTTTTTTTTTTTTGTAAGAGAAACAGGTCAACTTTAGGGATCAACATTAATACAGAATATTCTGCTACCAGAGAAGAAGAGTCAAAGAAGTTTTCAAAAAATTATTGACTAGTTTGCCTAAAAAAAAAAATCAAATATGCCAGGAAGTCTGAAACATCACAAACAAAGATATGTGTTTCGCATTTTGAACATTGATGTGTTTTTTTTACAATAGGTACACAAAGTGGTATGCAATGTCTCATTCAATTTGTATGCGTACCAATTATGCGCAAAATGGAGATCCTGCATTCTCATTGTGTACCTATAGAGCCTCGACTTCAAGGTCTGCAGAAAAACCTTGGTAACAAATCTACTGACGAACAAGGATCAGGACACAATGTCACTCTTGAGAATTTGGGAAAACATGTAAAAGAGGCTAAAACTTGGTCTGAACTTTAATTCCTTACTACACTCGTTGAAGCTATGAAGCACAGAGATTACAAAAGCTCCCCCCTCCGCTGCCCCTGCCAAGGTATCAAAGAAATGAGGTCTTCTGACTCTGTGCAATATTGTGGGTTTTTGGCCAAGGAGATGGCGGTCAATGTCCTATCTAAGCTAAAATACTTCTCCAGAGGTTTGGACTGAACCCTTCATTCCTTCAGAAATAAATAAATTCGGAACCGTCTAGCCACCGACATTTGCACATGACGCTACAGCCACAAGTTTGCTTGCCTAACCTAACCAACGTTTTTTGGTATCCTTCACTAGAGGCACAGCCACAAGTGACTGCTCGTCATGTGTATTAGAGAATAAAATCGAGGAATTCTGCTAATACTACTCACATCAGGGGTAGTTCGTTTGCTACTCTGGGACTTTTGGCTTTGCCTCCTCCGACCCTGACTCAGTTGTGACTGCACCATTGTGTCATCTTGATGACTGGGGCCTGCAGAGCAAAAGCCTTCGTCCTGGCTTGCCTGGCTTTGTCTCACCTTGTCACGTTTGGAAGACATTGTAAGATGAGTATGGTAATTCTCTGTAAAAGGGAGGGGAAAAAATTATGAATTAGTGAAGTAATATTTTGTAACAGGGAGGGGGAAAAAATTATGAAACAGAAATAAAAATAAAAAGCTTTAAGGGGGGGAATTAAATTAAATTAAATATGATAAAAACTTGATTAAATCGAAACGGTTAAATAAAAAGCAAGTTTACTGATAACTTGGGATTAAGAGGACTTCTTTCATAAACCCAAAACTTAATCATCTAAAGACCAAAGTCTGAATTTTCAGATCTTTATCCAAGAAATCTGAGTTTCAGGCGACGCCTAAAATAGATCTCGATTCAACTGCCACCTGCGACGACCATGACTTTCCCTTCAGTTCCATAGCCTTGAGCGCTATGAAAGCAATCAGCTTTCACTCTGGCTGCTAAACTTTTTATACTAACAGCTGAGATTGGGTGCTCATGTTCAGGCGATTCGTCCCTGATTCTGGTGCGGTCGAACTGGCGTGGGAAACCGATTTCACATCAAATAATTAAAACATTACCGCAAATTTTGAATTTATAGCCAAAATGAGGTCAATAGCTCCTATGCAAGAGCTATGAGAGTCATTCTCAACCAAAACAAAAAAAATTGCAAAACTCGGGAAAATGAAGGGAGGATTCTTCTAGAAAAAAAACCTTACGTAAATACGATACGGAGGACCATTCCTGTGTTGAATGCGAGATTTATTTCGAAAAAGAAGACTGCTTATATCTCTCTGAATTTGGCCAATTGATCAGTTGGGAATGATCCTTTAGGCTCGTTTGCAGGGGCTGTCGTCCTTTCTTTGCTAAAAATTTAGAATCTGCCAAGATTTCTGACTTAATTGATGAAATATGTTCCACGCCAGTAGGAACATGCCAGGATCTTGGATGAATCACATAAAAGCTGTACAATTTAAACAAGGTATGCTTAGAAACTTGTTAAGTAATTAGGTGGGCTGATAGGTAGTACCTGTCACTTCCTTAAGGCCGAACCATCCCTGCAAGGGAACAACTAAGTTTCCTTTCAAGTGATTCAGTGGCGGGATCATTTGACTAGAAAATGTTATTGACCAGAGCTTTGTTTGGGAATGTGCTTCTCAACACCCCTCCGCGTCAAAAGGGCAGAGCACAAGGCACCTAACACTGGCTCAATGGGCCGAGCACATTCCAGAATACAGCAACATAAACTTAGACCTGGAGTGGTTGCAATGGTGCAAAACTGAGATCAGTAAGTATATGCAAATAGAGAGAGTTCAATTGCATACCTTGACGAAAACTTCTGTCATACAGTCAACGCCAGGTAAATTTCAGCTCTTTTACAGGCTGTGACAGAGGATCATCCGACGACATTTTCGCAGAGCAAATACATACAAGAGGTAAGACGGCAGATTTTCTGACACAGCCTAAAAGTGAATAAACTCAGTTGGCACAGACTCTAAGAAGACAACAAGTTGCAGCGCACTTACCTATCACAGATAAATTATCTGGGATATGAAGTTTGACTCTATCTTACATTTGCGGTCCACTGCAATGAAATGTGGTTATAAGGGAACTGAATACGCAAGAAGTAAAAGGTAGACTTTTCAAGAAGCGACTAATTCTTGAAATAAGATCTAGGGCCACACCTTCAAAGCAGAGAGGCCACGAACGGTTAGAGGAAAATTTAGTTAACCGACTTACTTGAGCTATTAATAAGACGTTGAAAAGGAGATTTACTTACAAAAGTAGAGACTAAAGAATTGGAAGAATGTGAATTGAAGATTCGGTTGAATTGTCATTCCAATATCCATTTAGTTGATGTTAGTTAATGAAAGTTGGTGGAAACTTGAAGATTCGAACGAACAGAACAGGTCTAAACATGCCCTATTGCCCTCAATGTTTCATTGTTTCCCTCCAAAATCGCGTAGCCGCAGCCGCTGAGCCGCTACTCCAAAATTGAGGTTAGAATTAGGACGGTGTTGTCAAATTACATTATACGAGCTGGCCAAATTATAATAAAAAACGTTTTTTGAAAACAAAATTCATAATTTGACTCATAAGCACATTTAAGCCAATCACAAAGTCAGATTCACTTTCTCTGCCTGAACATTGGTCAGAGACTTTACGTCATCATGAACTTCTGATTGTAATCAGCCAATACTGCCGTGAGTAAAGTAATAAGTCTACACCCTGATAAGACTCCTTCTTTTGTTTACAAATTTCAGAAACCCAAAGTATCCCCGGTCGCAAGTCTTTTCAAATGGAAGGGAATAATTTTATACATTCACGTTATTTCTTTCTTACTTCTTTTGCATATTATATTCCTAGTCAGCCATAATTTGGTAAAATCAATTAACATCAACATCACAATTTCCAGTTTCAAGTTGACAGTGCGTTACTCTACTTCCGAGTGGTTTTTATACTAAACATTTTGAAGTTTGCTGTCCCCGAAGAAGAGAATGTTGCATGAAATCATTCTCAGTCTACTGTGTCCAGATGCCCAATTTTTGGAAGAACAGAATGAGGTAAGCAATTAGATTTCCGTAAGAATCACTTCTCTTGGTTCCCTAAACCCCATTATTATGTGCAGATGAATTAATCGTTTCTGCTAATAGGGTACCTCTAATACCCTTTTTCAACCTAACTGTTACAAGACCTGGGAGGTACTTAAAAAATTAACGCAATTAGTCACAGAGAATAACAACTACTCAGAGGTCACATTCCAACAGTCGGTTGTGCTCCTGAACCTAACTTCTTACTAATTTTCACCTGAGTCTTATCATGAATTAAACAAGTTCATGAACCCTGAAGACTAACCGCTGAGAATTCTTAAAGTTTGTCCTGGCCGAATGTTTACTGCATGGGTAACTGAGGCAGGTTTCATCAATTCAGACTGCCTGACAATATATACTTGATTTTGTTCTCAAACAATCTCGCAGAGTCGCATCTCTATCTTTGCACACATATGGAATAGATAAAGCAAATCAAGTAATCCAAGATATGTCTTAAGCTGACGGAATTGGAAGGGATGGAAGTGAATTTTTCCAAAATTATTTTATATCAGTAGGTATCTACCTAATCTATTCCTGCTTTTAAAAAAGTTCCCAGCGTATCATACTTGGTTTTAAGTTATTTTGTTGTCATATCACTTCTCTTTTCTAATTCACTCACTGAAGCAGATGTTTACCTTCATGTTACAGGCTTTGAAGTTGAATTTGTTTCTCCATCCAAGTGAAAAATGTTTACTGCGTCGTATTCTAAGTGTTGCCAAAGATTTTGCAACAATAAAAAAGTTTAGCGAATATGTTAATGGAAAAGTAGATGGGAATGGTGAGAAATTCATAATATTAAATTTTGTATGTAATTTTTTTTTTTTTTTTTTTTTTGAAGTTTAGAACTGAAAGGTTTTTCACTCCGTCCAAACTATAATCCCACTGTGGATTCGAATTTTTTGGCTAATTCTGAATGAACCTTTCTCCTTGATGCCACAATCACAAGAGGAAGTTCAAATATCAAATCTTGAAGTGATTATAAGTATTTGTAATGAACATTAACAAGATGTCAAAAATACGTACTCACCACAATTGATGCCACTGAAGTACCATATTTTTTTTTCTTTTTTTTTTTTTGTCGTAAAAAATTACCGTTGGCTCTGCTTATTTTATGCATGTACCTATTTTCTAATGATTTGATGAAATATTTGCAAAACTGTTCCAACATGCAACGGTAATTAATCCCCTTAACCCTTGGATCATTAACATTTTTGAAGATTAATCTTTCTGGGATGGAATAACAGCATTCCATTTCTTTAATCCTAAATTATAAATCCAATTGTTGAGGAAAGCTATCGCTCAAAAGTCTTTTATACAGCCAGTTTCCAATGACCGCAGAGTTTTAAATTTTTTTCTGTCAGAAATAAATGAGTATATGTCGAAAACTCGGTATTTCCATTCCAGTATTTGTAGATTGCAGAATGAGCAAATGTTATTTTCACTTTTCTCAAGGACAATACCAATTAAGTAATTTTTCTGTGGGTTAAAAGGTTCTTTCTGTTAAAAAAAAAAAAAAAAAAAAAAAAAAAAAAAAAAAAAAAAAAAAAAAAAAAAAAAAAAAAAAAAAATGAAATAAAAAAAATGGTGGAAAACACTGAAATGAAAGAATACTCGATGACTTTTCTTTGAGAAAAGAGGAAAAATCATTTACAAAATCTGAAAATATCGAATGGTCTACAACATGCTTTACTCTCAACATCATCAAAAGCAAATCTTTGTACTTGAACATTTCGGGGAGCCCTCCTTACACTTTAGAGAAATTTTATGCACATTTTCAACTGTTGCAGATGATGGTAAAAGTTATGGTATGTATTTAAAAGCATTTACTCATGGTGTTGAAAAAGAATTGATTCCATATCATAGAGATATCATTGATCTACAAGAAAAAGCTCTTCTAAATCCATCAATGACCATCTCCGAATTGCAATGCTTTATCACGAAGCATTATAATCCATTGAAGAGTTATTGCGCCCTCATCAATCAGGTAATTGTGTGATCAAATTTATGTATTTTATTCATTTTTTTATGTATGTCTGTATGTCAAGTAAAGGCGTTCTTATTTTGAATGGGAGTGAAGGCTGAAGGCTCCTAGTTCCATGACCATGGCTTTGATAGATGAATAGCGACATTTCAAATTCTTTCTCAAAGTTTTCTTATTTCCTAAATCCCAGTAAATGCTCAGAACCATGGGTCACAGTAGTTTATCCAAGAACATCTATTCAGTCTTCGATGTATCAGCAAACAAAGTGAAAGATTTCTGCTGTGAGGCTGGAAATTGATTTTTTTTTTTTTTTAAAGCATCAGGCTTCATGTAATACAGCAGTTTTTACATTCTCTGAAGTGTTGACGATGGAAAAGCAAAGCTATTAAATGAGAGATGTTTTAGCCCAGAATGGCAGTATAGAGACTTGTGGTAAGGTCCTAGATTTTTGAACAAGGGCTCTTTCCCTGGTTTGACTGTGGTGTCAGGTAGTTTGAAAGTCAAGTGTACTTTTTAAATTTCAACGAATTCCCACACTGGAGTTCAAAAACTTCCCACGAATCTAAACCCTGATACAATCCGAGCAAAAAATTTCCTCCCTGGGATTTGTCAGAGAGCATGGAAATCAGAAAAGTTTAGGGCATGAGAAAATGTCATAGTTCTAACAGGGGAAGTCAATCCACTGATGATTCATTGAGTATGGGGCTGTCAATTCATTTATTTTAATTAATTCTCTGAAAGTACTTAGAAAAGAAGAATGCCTGCAAGTGCAATTTTCGTCTTGAAATGGAATTTTTGTCCTCACACAAAAATATTTAAAAGAATTATGTATTGTTACTGTGCTTACTCAAGAATGACCCAAACCAAAGAATTGGCACTTAATGTTTTAAGTCGCCTGATCCAATTGTATCTACCTAGTTAAAAAAGTTAATATCCTGCACCATTTCCTCACTAATCTCATGATCAATGTATTCCCTTTTAACAGATAGAAAACCGACAGCTGAGAGGCGGTCAACTTTTGCAACTTATCTATGAAAATTCTACAACTGGGGATGAGGAGATAGTGCAGAGCTTGAACCGGTAAGATTTTCAAACTGTGTCAATAATTATTCACCTCAGAACCCCAGTGGATGAAGGAAAATCACCAATGAAGACATAAAATGGGTATCAAGATGTTTAAAAATTTATCTATGAAATTTAAGCCTATAGTTTTTCAGCTAAAATCTTATTATACTTGTTAGAACTTTATTTAAGAGGCTCAGATATTTTCTACTTCGCAACTTGCGTGACATAAAAACTTTGAAGGATATTGTAATTTTTCACAAATTAATTTAGGTTTTGGCTAAAATTTCTAATGAATTCTCTTATTCCCTTCATTTTAAATTGACAGCTTTGTAGCACATGCACATGAGTGCTATAAGCAAATGTATTATTATTTGATTTAAATTATTTTAGTGTTAAAAATATCAAGATAGACCCAGAAGCAGACCAATCATTTTAACCCTTGATGGATCGATTACAACGACTTTTTTTTTTACAAGTAAAAGTCCTCCTCAAATCATACTAAATTTACCGTTCCTCTTCAATTTTCTTCATTCAGGCTCCTGCAAGAATGTCATGTAGCATTTTTCAAACAGTTATCAAGCTGGTTATTTTATGGACAAGTGCATGACCGTTACAAAGAATTTTTCATTCAACCACTAGAATCTGTAGAAACAGAGAAGACTATCACTGTTGCAGCTTCGCCTAAGATACCAGTTGACACTATTGCTGCTTTCCAGTTTTTTGTAAGTTTATTCTTTTCTTTAGCAAATCTGCAAACCAGATAAACTTCATGTTTTAAGTAATCAAGCTCTAAGGATGATGGAATTTTTTAGAAAACTGAGCTCTGAAATCACTGCAATTTCTCTATTCCCCTTTGTTCCATTTTTTATCATCATGGTGATATTTCAAAGACAGTATACATTCAATTTTCACAAAGAAAAAGGCTTCAATTTCAAAAGGAGAGTCAAAAGTTATTGTTCAGACAATTAAGGGGAAACAACAAATGAAGCTCTTGAATGTGTCAGGAATTTTTAATTTATTTTCTTTTTTTTTTTTTTTTTTTAAAGATAAAATTTCAGGAAAAACTTGATGCCATTGGTTTTCTCAAAAAAAAAAAAAAAAAAAAACAGCAACAACAACAACTTCTAAGTTCAAAAAAATCTCTCAAAACTGAGAGCCTAATAAAAGAGATCCCACATGCTACCCTGAAAGCCTACAATTATTAATAATATAATATTATTAAATATATAATTTAGATGTTAATATTTACTAATGTTAGTATGTATTAGTAACAGAAAAGGAGAGGTAGAATAATATATGTATCAATTACTAGCCAAATTCTTACACTAGCAGGGTTGCTGTATGAAGACTCCAAGGGCGGAACCACGGCAAACCCTGCTAGTATATTTGATCCCTATTTGTGCATGAAGAGTCTGACTGGATATAGAGGTGGACTCTCCTCGTAGTGTCAGGGATCTCCTCCACTACAGCCCCAACTTTGAGAGCTTTTCTTAAGCTTGGGAGTTTGTTTCAGAGAAAACCAGTGGCACCATCTTGTCTCTTGCAAAATTTTACATAAGAGGAAGTACTGAAATTGCAAATCCTTGATGCATGCACAGCTTCATACCGGAAATCGATTATTCTTAATAAATCTCTCGTAAGAACTTCTTTGTTTTAGATGGTTTTGTTTCCTCTGTGTGCTTTAATTGTTGCATTTTGGTACCTACTTATTCTGAATTTTTAAATTTTGAATCTTTTAGAATATTCATTTTTCACTCTCATTCACCAGTCAGGAAATTTATTCCATTTTCATGATCATTCCTTTATTTCTTTCAGATTGAATTCAATGCAGCCTCAAACATTAGGAAACATCAAATTGAAAGTACATTGGTGCCATCTTATATTTCATATTCCCTTGCTCAAAAAATATTATTCCTAGGAGAAACTATTTTAATGGTCACTTCCAAACATTCAAACGCATCAAATAAGTTTGTCAATTCAATCTACAATGGAAAAGAGAAAAAGTACATGCAGGAGATTATTGAATTCGAAACTAAAGTGTGTTTAAAGCCATATGCCTTGGAAAAAATCTTGGATGAAATGCGGTCCAGTGTGATGGAATATCTATGGAAATTAGCTATCACGGAATGCTACCTATATGAGCAAGTGAAATTGATCAAAGATTTCTATTTGTTAAGCCATGGTGAATTATTCACTGAATTTCTGAGAAAATCAGATGGCATTCTTTACAAACCCTTAACAACCTCCTCAGTCAGAATTTTAAACTATTCACTACAGCAAGCTGCACTTAGTGTTGGTACCATTAAAGAATCCTCCTTGGACAAGTTTGAATTCACGATGCCCGAGGAAATTATTAAGGAAGGGGGCAACATCTTCAACTGCTTGAAGTTAACGTACAAAACCGAATGGCCTCTGCAACTTTTTTTTACTGCAGAAGTTTTACATAATTACAATGTCTTGTTTCTCTTTCTCCTGAGGATAAAGAAAATTCAAATGGATTTGCATGGATTGTGGTTGAAAAATGTCAAGCAGAAGCAAATGAAGTAAGTCATTTTCATTCTTTCCATTGACTTTTTTAGGAGTAATGTTTCAAAGTCTAAAATTTAATTATCCACCCTTTGCTGTAAAGCTTTTAAAGAAATTAATCCAATTAATTCTTCATCTTTTTAGTGCTCCAAGCTCTTAAAATAACTCAAGAGTTAACTCACTGACCACCTTTTTTTGGTCCAATGCTTGAATTTTTCCAAAGCATTGCCACCATAATTTAACCCAGAAAAATTGAAATAAAACGAATATAACATCAAAGTAGTATGCGTTGAATACAGGATAATGTGTCAGGCCCTTTTTTATGTGGCTGTTGCAGGGTTTAAAAGTACAGTGTGTATATTCACATCCTCCTGTTTAAAGAGGAATGTGTACCTAAGCACAGCGTGACTATGCAGAAACTTTTGCCAATAAACATGTCTGCAATTGGAATGTCAACCAGGAAATGTAAATCCTGACAATACAGGGTGACGGATGCTGATCTGAAATTGCCATAATATGCACTAGCATAAAGCTAATGATCTAGCTTGGTTGAATTGTTTTTCTTTAATATTTAGAAATCATCTAATTACAAAATTAGTTATTTTGTATTGTAAAGTTAAAATAACTTTACATGTCCCCTTATATAACGCCCATATATGTGGTATTTAAATGGCGGTGGTAGCAGCTATGGAGGGTTTAGCAGAACCAGAAAAAAGCAGTAGATATTTAGGCTACCTTGAAGGGCACAAAGAGTCTTCTGTTTCCATAATTCAACATGGCTATTGTTTTTTACATCAGAAGAGAAGTTGCGTCAGATACTGAATGCAAATCAGTGTTAAATTTCCTACATCCAGTTCGATAAGTCTAAACCTTACTGTTGGTGTGAAGATACAGAGCTAACAGTTGAGTTTTTTGTTTACATTGTAGGTGTTGGAAAGAAGCCTGGCAGCTGAGAACAGGGCTTATGTTCCTAATCGACAATCTCCAATATTATTTGCAAGTTGACGTTCTAGAAACTGAATTCTCTGCCCTCATGAAAGCAGCAAATGAGACTAAAGACTTCGAAAAACTACAACAGTTACACTTATTATTTCTGTCAAAAATTTTGACACATTCATTCGTGTCTCATGTTCAATGGGTAAGTTGATTAATTTTTCATTTTTTTCTCTGATGCATTTTAGCTTTGAAAGCTCAGCTAGAAATTCTATGTCAATGGTGAAACTACCATGGATGTGAGTCAGATAAATGGATGACATTTAGCTAAACGGAACCAGCGCGATTACAGTGTTTTCAAAATAGTTCAACTTCTTCTTTCCTTCTAAAAATACTCAATATATGTATAGTATTAAATTTTACACAATTATTTTTGTTTAAAATTGACAATTTTTTGGTGGGAAGCAAAAAGTATTTGCTATTCTGAAATTTTTTAGATAACTAGCTGCTCCGGGCGCCCTCCACAGCTAGCAATGGTGGTGCAGTAGCTTATTTGGAATCGGAGCAATTAGTTGAATCTATTCAATAATGATGATAGGCGAAGGAACGTGGCAGGGGGGATGGCTGAGAGCGTAGAGGGAGGGTACTTAGCGACGGGCAAGCAGGCAGCGACCGGACGACCGCTCGAAACAGCTGAACTTTACTCATTGATAAAAGTAAGAAAATTTGAGAAAATGGAAAAAACAATTACAGCTTGCAAGTCTACAGCTCAGGGGCTTTCATTTAAAAAAAAGATCAGGAAAATCGGTCTGGCGGTTCTCTCAAAGTAAACGTCCAAAGATTCGGAACTTTGTGTTTTAATATATAAGATTATGAAGAAGCAACATTTTCACAACACTGTAATCGCACCAGTTCCTTTTTGCTAAACGCGATCCAAATACCTGGTGGGTAATTACATCAATTCCCGAATATTTATTTGGCAGAAAATCCATTAATACTCAGGGTATATAGGCGGATGCTCATTCAAAATTCTCGTCACACCCCTAAAGTGTTATTGTCAGTGTTATTTCATTAATCATTGAAACCATTTTTGTTTCTTGAACTATATGGTGAAAAGAGGGAACCAGAGCAAGGGTGTTATGCCTAAGACCTATAGTGCACATATGAATAAGGCACCAGAGGATAAATAAGTAATGGTAGAATAACCCATTCTATATGGCTCTTGAGCATATTCAGTTGTGAGTAAAGCCTTAACCTGCAGCTATGAGTTATGATCATGACAAGAGGTCAAAGTGGAAAATTGCAGGGACAGGAACTTTCCTAGGAGTTCTGGAGTAAAGTTTACCATTTGGGAAACTTTGATAAGTTTGTAGGGTGGAATATACAATTTTGCTGCCCCTTGATTTCATCAGTTCAGCCTCGAAAAACGAAAAAGGAAACAAAAAGAAAAAGGGATCATCATTTTTTAGAGCTACCGCCTCCAAAACTTTGCTACCATAGGCTGTGGCTCATGCACCCCTCAGTGGTGTGGCGTGTTTTGCAGTATATCAACTGATCTGTCAATTAAACCTATGGAAAAAGATCGACAAACAGGGTGTTTGCCATGAACACCTTAATAATCGATTCTTTATCACAACTTCAAATGGGGAAGTATTGATAATCGATCATTCACGCCTCACCACTGATATCCTTCCTCCTTTGAATTTGGCCCCAAAAGTTTGATTGACTTTGATTGTGCTAGAAATTTCCATCAAATATAGTTCACAAAGTCTCAGAAGTTTTAAACAATAACACTGAGTAGTTTTCCAGTTAAAAAACAAAATAAGGCAGAATTTTCAGAGTTGCAAATTTTAGCAAATGCATTACTTCTATATGAGAGAATAGAATTTGACGCAGAGTATCCTCTTAATTATTTCTTGCATGCTCGAGGGTATTGACCAGGATGGATACTTACGGTAAATACCAGAGTTAATCCTGCGGTATTTACCCGAAACCCTAAATAGGTACCCAAGTATTTCAGGACTCTGGAAATCACGAGATTTTTTTTTTTTTTTTTTTTTTTTTTTTTTTTTTTTTTTTTTTTATGTTTCAAAATTTCCTTTATTTTGTTAAGAATGTGTCTCCAGATATTTTTGAATGGAATTCCTAGGGAACATTCTTGAAAGAACAAAGTAATATCATAACATTTTTTCCAATTAATGCTGATCAGTGATCTTTCATCAAAATATAATGTGACAAGAAAGAAATCTGTATCACCAACAGAAATGCGTTGTTTTATAGTTCTATGATCGATTCATCGGCAGAAAAAACATTTCAAAGTACTTATGATTCTTAAACCTGTCCCGTCTGTGATGATCACCAATTTTTACTCAGAAAGTAAATGGGTATTCAACTTGGGCACATCTTGCATCTGGATGTGGATCAACTCCTAAACTCTCGGCTCTGCAAAGAAAAAAAGAAGTCCTTCTACTTTAATAAATCTATTTATCTGTTCAATTTCAATTTTTGCAGCCCCCTAAAAAACTATCCTCCAAAAATGATGGTCATATGGAAAAATCTTCAGAAACAAGGCCGCACCCTGTAAGTTTTTACTAAAGAAATAATTTGCATGCGTATCAAGTTATTTGCTTATATTTACAGAAACAGGTTAACAGCCCATAAAAACTAGTGAATACACAGTAAAGAATAATACTGCCTCAAGATTAATCGGAATAAGTGATAGGATAGTCTCAAAACATACTAACCTTCATTCTGGTCCTTCTTAAATCAAAGATGTTAATTTTACATTGTTTTTTAGTAAACTAGCAAAATCTATACAAGTGTATATACCCTGCACTTTGCAATATTAATTTGTGATTTCCTTTAAATAAATCAAACTACATTCAAAATAGGCGTAAAAAAGGAGTAAAAAAGCACTCTTGTCATTGAAGAAAGACCATCTGTTTAAAGCTAAACTAAAAATCGGGTTGCTAGAAAATAAATTAACATCCTCATCAGCAATTGTTGTGACGCTGACTCGAGCTCCTCTCTCTACCGAGTACGAGTATTTCAATATACCAAAGGCACTTAATCGATGGCTGAAGTAAAAAAAATGTGTATTTCAAATTGCTTTGTATGTGCTCATGCTTTTTATTAAAGGGAAATTAACCAATAGTTTCTATCGAAATTTTTGAGAATTTCCTCTCTCATTCTGAAAAAAAAATACTCCAGAATTGTAGAAAAGTATTCGGATTAGCTTTCTTTAAAAAACAGAACATTTTCGGACTTTTTTAGACAGATACACAACTTTTCCATTCAGCCATCCATATGTATGGTCAACATAGCTTAGCTAGAAGCATCAGCATCCTAGAAATCATTGATAAGAATTTAAATTAGTGAATTTATTCTAATGAAAGTATTTTAGATATTTACAGTTAATGCAACCGTCTCAGAATTTTACACCTCTACTTTTTTAATCAAACCACATCGTCAGTTTAATTTAAAGTAAAGAGTGGACATATTTAAATCAAAAGGGTCTATCTCCAATGGAGATAGACCCTTTTGATTTAAATGGAGATTCTCCATTGTGACTCGGCCCCTGTGATGTATGTCTTCTTAATTAAAATGAATTTCCTCTCCTATTTTGCAGGTGAATGCATGTCTTACAAAAATTTTCATAATTTGTGAGAAATTCATTTCCGTCATGGCAAGCGACAAATCCCTCTCAGCAGATAATGAGCTCCCTCTTTTATTAGAATTCTTCCACCAACAACTTAGTGTTTTAATTATTAGCATGAGTGAACTTACCTCTAGAAATATTAGTTACAAGCATTTAAATCAATTTCTTCTCCGCTTAGATTTCAATAACTGGTTCACCAATAAATTTGATTTGACAAAATACATATAAGAACCTGTGCAAGATAGAAGTTTAAATCATGTTTCAGAAACAGATCGAACAGGGACAAAGTGTTTTTTAAATACAAGTCTTCAAATTGTTTCCAGTTATCTTCTTGATTTTTTTGGTCACTCCCATTGTTATTAAGTTTCCTTTTCTTTGGATTAGAAGAGATGAAACAGATGAGAAAGGAAATTGTACCTGTCAATGAATCAGTTGGGCTGGTTAGAATTGCATTTTAATAGTTTGAATGCACAGATTCATAAAAATTGATAAGATCCGTCACAGCGCCTAGTTTCTGTGGCCTATATGAACCAAGATATCGCCCCTTGAGACACTTGCATGATGTCATCCATTCAGTGGTAAATGCAATGGTATGGTTTCCTCCGCCATTGTTTAATCAATTAATGATAAAAACATTTCTGCCGTTTGCTCGAGTAAAAACATGGATGGAACCAAGATGGAAGAGACTATATTGTGCTTGACTGCGGTGGATGACATCGTACGTCATAGTTTTTTTGTAATGAAACTTTTTTTGTAACACTCCACTAACTAATGGTACAAGTTTTTCAATCTTTATTTTGTGAGGACAGAGAAAGAATGATTCTCTCACAATTACTTATACTTATGTAGCTTTTGCATCCAAAAAAAGGATTACGCACTTAGAATATATCTGCCAAAACTTCTGTATCGAGGGTGAAACGCTCAAACCACGTATGTACCTCAGTTTCTGACGATGTAGACTTCCTGTCATAATTTATTCTTTAAATGGAAAATTACTCTGTTCCCTCAAAAAGTTATTTACTTTTAAAGATGCGAAATCTGACCGAAAGCCATTAAATGCTTGTTGATGCCGTTACACTTTTGTATTTTTGCACCACTATGAAAGACATCCATAAGAATTTCTGGCCAAAGTATCCTGAGCGCTATTTAGGCTTAGGCTCTACGATGCCAAACTTCTCTAACTTGTCCAATTTTGTACAAGAAAATAAAGGAATAGAATCATTTGAAAATTTTACCTCATATTTTTTATGACACCAAGATTAATCTTAATTGATGCTTGTCACACTCTGGTCAAAGGATTATAATATCTGATCAGACGTACTCAGTGATTTTAGTTATTTTGTGAGGGTGAAAAAAAAAACAGGAAGAAATCACAAAATCATTTAAAAAAATATTCATTAAAAAATTAGATGTATTTTAGTTGAAAACAAGTTCTTCTTAAAATGTATGAAAAAAAGTTTTGAACGAGGAGTATAAGCATGACATTAATTTTTTTCTGACACAGCTTATTAAACAATTGAGAAGCTAAAAAATAAAAAGCTGAAAAACTTTAGTTCCAATAAAATTCTAATCAAAGAGATCGTCAAAGTTCAACTTATTTTGTCAGAGGACTAAGAGTGAAAACAATTTTTTCTTTTTTTAAAGAAAAAAAATAAAAATGATTCCCAATTGCATTTATTTTCTACAACTAAAAGATAGCTGCATATGATTGCCTGGCTTTCTTCAGTTACCGAACACTTATTATAAAATAGTTTTAAGAATGAGTTGAAAAAAGTTCTAATAAATAAAATTCTCTGTTGATTCCAAGCTCTGGGGATAAAACTTAAAAAAAAAAAAAAAACACACATCTTTAAATTCATTTTCAATAAATACGACTTAAAATAGAAGGTAAAGCATACAGGAAATATGGTTTCCACCACTTGCGAAGGGATGTTTCTTAGTCCCTTGGGCAAGACTTAAGCAGTGCAACTACTCTAGGGTAATCCTCCGCAGTGATTCTCCCTCTTTCAGGGGAGGAGTCTCTCATCTGAAAAATAATTCGCATGACCTCCAAGCGCCTGAAATCGGAATCAAGAAATAAATACATTAGATCAAAGCTTAAGAGCAATGGATTCAACAAAACAAAAGAAGGATCAAGTTTGGTAAAACATAAGGTTACTGTAAATAAATAAATTTTCTTGCCTCATAGTGGACTGATTTAGTGGCTATGAGATATTTATTCATTTTAGTTTTGATGGTTCAAAAGAAAATCAACACATAACTGTGTCATATAGGCGCTAGCGGTGGTAAAAAATGTTAAAATGTTTTTTGCAATTAAAACTCGTGTTTAATGAATCATTAATTGATTCATGACTCTTCACTGATAAAATGGTGATAAATTGACACAATTGACCCACACAAAATTTGGGCATGAGATAATAATTGTTTTGGCTTGAACCATCGCAAATAAATTAGGCTGTGTTTCGCCATTGAAGCAAATCGATAAGTACAATATCTTGAAGATGAAGTAGCCACTAAATTGGTCTATAATAAGACTTGCATGAAAGTAAAACAAGACAAAAAACCGACGATAAAATGAAACTTCAGCTCAATGGATATTTTCTGATGACTGAAAAATAAAATTCAAACTATGACTCGTTATAGATGGTAGGAAAAACATGAACATACACTGGGTTTAATTTAGTTTTACTTATTTGTTCATTTCAGAAATTGAAAATCCCTGATAAACGGGTTAAAACGGTAAAATGTTTTTACTTGACAAATTGTAGCTTAAGATACGGTAGGAATTTAGCTGGAATCTTATTTTATGTGAGTGCAATCATTAAATGAAAAAAAATGCAAGTATCATTGGGAGCAGACATACCGTTCCCTTCCACTGGGAAGATCTCTATTCGGCGCTATTGGCGTCTGATTTCTTATAGCTTCAAGAACCTGAAGTCAAACAAAAAATTAGGGAATTAAAACAATTTTCTTTTTTTTTTGTAAAAACGCAGAATGCTGAGGATTTTAAAATTGTAAATTTTGCTCAGAGAAAAATCATACGAGAATCGGTTCCTTATTTGCAATACAAAAAATAACAGATCCATGCCAACTTACGCACCTCTTCACTTCTTTTGATAACTGTTTCAGGATAAAGACTTGCTTTCAGAGTGTGTATAGCTAAACTTGAATCAATCGATCCATCTTTCAATCGGTGGAGATAGACAATTTCGTCATTATTGATCAAATATTCCATTGTCTGAAAATGACAAGAAATTTCAATGGTTAAAGATAAATTGCTCATAATAACAAGAACTATATTGACAGAAACAAAGATTTTCCTGTAAAAGTAGGAGAATTTTGAGGAATGTTCGTCAGGGTGTCTCCTGTCAAAAAAAAGTATAAATACTTTGAAAAAGCAGGGATTCAAAAAGGTTGATATGTAAGTTCATAAAATATATGAATTTCCCATAAAGACACAGAAATTCAACATGTTCACGATAAACATAAAGAAAGAGCCTTAGAAGTATGCACTTTTTTTTCACACAACTATTATAACACGCTGCCAGAAAATCTTAATTATATTCTGTGTGTTTCGATTCACTTTTCTAGAATTCTCACATTCCACTTCTCCACATTCAAATCCTGATTTCTTTACCTTCCACATAAATCTGTTCTTGTCAGGGTTCAAAATAGCAGTCAGGTAGAGAAAAAGTAAGGAAAAGGCAATGAGAAAGCGCCAGGAGACCTCTGAAAACAGGAATTATTGGGAAATAAATAAAAGTAAAGAGAAGGTAATGAGAAATCAGAACAAAGAAAATGCAAAAAAAAAAAGGTTGACAAATAAAGTAATGGAAAATTATACCTGATGTTTGATCATTGGAGACGACGGCAACACAGTAAGCAAGTTGTGGAGATGCGTGGTGATGATGACATGCGGGCAATCTTCCCCTTTACTCATCCAATCCGTGATGAAAGTTGACAAGAGCGAGACACCGTCAATTTCTGTTGTGCCTTTCCCAAAATCATCTACAGCCACCACTGCGTTCCCTGACGTGTTCGATGCTACTTGAGAAATCTGAGACAAAAAAGTTAATAATATTTTCTACACAGGCATTGCAAATATATAAATAATTTAAAAAACAAAGATTAAATTCCAAATTTTCATGATTAACAGAATTGCTGCTTTTGTAAAAATATCTTTAGCCTTGTCAGGGGAGTGCCTTCTCTGAATAAAATGATATGCATGTTTTTATGATAAATGGGGGAGACGACATTCTATTGAAATGAAGATATATTATGAGTAAAATTGTTGGCTTCTGAACTATTCACTCCTAACCTTCAATATAATTTGATGTCTCCTACACAAGAGAGCATTCGCCATTTACGCTGTTCCAAGGTTTCAAAGAATATTTCATTCTTTCATAGGAAAACTGTCATACGAATTCGTCTGAAAACTTTAAGATAATTTTTTCACAAATGAAAAAAAAAATTATTGGAAATTTTGGGCAAATTCATGTGACGCATCTAGTATGAAAAATAAATTATTGGTACGAAATGCTAAGATAATGTAATCGAGATTTGCTCTTTTGCTCGAAAAACGATGAATTTACCTACCGATGACTTTCTATAAGCATTATTTTATAAAAGAGGCAAAAGAGTAAGGGTTGAAATTTCACCTGTTTTAAGTCTTGCATAAAGCAGGAGATATTCAAAGCAGGTGACGTTGTGGCAGTTGGAGTCACCAGATGGAGAGAGTCAATCAAGCCAATTTTCGCACTTTCAGCAGGTACAAAACTCCCGGTGTGGGCAAGATAAACGATTAACAAAGTCTGCAAAGAAAATGGAATCCCAAAAGTTCATAAGAAATCAACAGAATTAATGCCAAAATCTCTTCATAATTCTTTCGAGTCTAAAGTATAAACAAAGAAAATTGGTGAAATAATTAATGAAACTCGAGCTCACAACTAAAAATGTTTCATGCTAAAGCTTTACCGGCTGCCCTTTGTCAAAGAGTGAATTTTGACCGGCTAGTTTTTCTTCACTGTCAAGCTGTTACTATTAGTGTATTGAGAAAATATTTAATCATTCACGAGGAATAGTCCTACAAATGCCATTGGATCAATTGTGCATGTCTAAGAATCAGATTTTGGAGGCTGAGTTTGAAAGTGATTTGCTGACAATTCTGATGAAAAGCGGACTTCGAATCCTCAACTTTCTGTTTGACATACAATGGACCCTTAGATAAGGTACGAATTTCAGCATTCTGATACATGTTTCTTAACCAAAATTTCACGTAGGACACGATGCTCACAACGAAAATTACCGAAATTAACTCCTTACGAAGATATTTAATGATACTTGATGCGTGAATTCAAATCACCCACTCATGAAAACTCAATGCTCAACGTGACTCACATCGCGCGCTAAACGTTATCATGACAGTCTTTTGCGATATAAAAATCTGGAAACCTCAGTCTTGACGCTTTGGCTCGGCTATAGTAAATTGCTTATAGTTTGAACAACACATGGTGGGACATGAACATTGCTTGACTGAGAAGTTTGCTGAAACCGTTGTAGTGCGTGATTTGATTCACGTACAGCTCCGAGTTTCTTGTGTGCGGGCAGTTCAAATTCCTCGTAACTGATGTGAAATAATAACGTTAATATCTTCGTTAGGAATTGGTTTAGGTAAATTTCGTTGTGCGAATCGTGCTCTACGTGAAATTCTGACTGGGGAACATGTATCAGAATGCTTAAATTCGTACCTTGTCTAGTGGTCCATTGTGATGACAAAACTGTTGTACCGTAAATTTTAAGTTTGCTGCAGGCCAAAAAGATCAAGAACCAACAACCTGGTGATTGTTTTACAGAGTGAGTTGTTTTTTGGAGCTTGTTAGTTCTCATTAAAATTTTTGGTCGATTTTGTGACATTTTTGGGCAGAAAATATTTTGACTATTATAGTGAGCGCTAAAATATATTTGTAGGGACAGGGGCTTACTTGTTTGCAATATACAGATTTTCCTGCAGCACTAGGGCCAGTTATGATTTTGATCATACTCTTCTCTATCGACGAGACATAATCGTTCGGAACCATAGAATTACTACAGTGTTCGATAAAAGGGTGCCGGCCTTTCTTAATTTCAATCACTTTTTCCTGGACGAGTTCCGGCTCCACCAAATTCAGTTCGTTGGCAACAAAACTTAAGGATAGTAAGCTGAGGGAAATTGGGGAGAGATAATTATGAAATAATATGTTAGGACATAAAAACTTCACGCTAAAATTCTCCTATAAACTCCCACAGAATATCTCAGTTAACTTGGAGAAAATGCCCTCTTTCTTCGTTCATCATGAGTTTTTTTTTTTTTTTTACTTCAGTTCTGCATCAAAGAAAAGAAAATTGGCTGAAATGACAATTTATACAGAAAGCACTTTTTAAAAGATATGATGGGCCGTTGAGTACCTACGATTAAAAGATTTTTTAACACAGATTATAAATTGATTCTAATTCCATAACTACTGTTAAATTTGCAAATCAGAGAAGGAGAATTATGGAGTTATGGGGAATTTATGTATCACTTTAATTGAATAAGTTTTTCTTTGGGTTTTATGAATGTGACAAATTTTTTGGTTGGTGTAGACACTTCATCAAGCCAAGTTTGAGATTTCTAATGAATATTCAGCATAAAAATCTAAAAAAAATATAGGAAAACCGGACCAAGATGCATGTACGCATCATGTATTGTATGAAAGAATTGTAAAAAATTGGTGGAGCACAACTATTCAACTTTTCAATAGTAATTGTAATGCATTAATAAAGTTTGCTAAGTGATCAGTTCAATAAATTAGAATATTATGAACAATTAACTTAGCAATAATGTCAAATTTATCAAATTTTCTTTGAAATTTTAACCGAACTAAAAAGTCGAGAAGATCAGGCCTAAACTGACCTGCCATTATTGAAATTGATGGGCAAAGCTATGAAAAAAGAAGATTAAAAGAGTATGGAGGGATCCTATTCGTGGAAATGGTTGATTTCCATAGATGAAGGGGGGAAATGATGGACTAACCACAGGGTCCTTCAAGGGATGTCATTAGTTAGTCTATCGCTACCTCCTTTGTCCATGGCAACCACCCGCTTCAGCCAACAGGATACCTCCATATCCCTTTTGTCTTCTTACTCTATTAATTTCAATAATTAGCCTGCTACCTGTCCATCATAAAACAATCCAAGTTCAACACAAAAGAACACAGTCATATCCAGATTGAACTGAGAAAAAGCTGTTTAAAGTTTTATTCCTCCTCAATAGATATAAAATTAAAAATTTCAACTCAAAGACTTTTACTCTCTTCTTTCAACACTGTTAAGAAGGCATTTGTAAAAACATGAAAAACACCTTGCGAGACTACATGACAGAGATACGAGTGATATCTTTTCTCTTCATTGCAGAGCAAGTTATGTAATTTAAGTTTCTTGGACGTTATAATGATTATATTGTGTCATTTAGTATCTTGGAAGATCATTGGGTTAGAATTCGTTTGTTCTTCATCTTCAAGAAGAACATACCATTAAAAATTGATACATCGGCATACCAAATTTACAAAATAAGGAGAATGTTATCATGAAGTTTGTTTCATGCACTATTTTTTTTATAAGAATGAGTGACGTATAACTCTTACCAATCCAGTTCTGCGATTAAATTGATGAGTTTTTGCAACATAGGTAATTGAACAGATATGAACTGGATGAGCTGAAGCATTATTTGAGTCTCTCTCTCGATAATTTGTAGCTGACTATCTCCCAAAGTTTCGTCAAGCTCTAGAGGTGGATCGAAAAAATAAAATAATTAAATGCTTGCAGATGAGAGGAGTAACAATAAAAAATTGAATACTATTTCTAGCCGGAGATGTAGTCTACCACAACCCGAAAATTTTCCCAAGTAAGTTTCATTTTGTGCAGTGTTATGATAGACATCAGAGTATTATTTTAAATTTGTCAATTCAGGAAGAGAAAAAAATAATGAAAAATATTGATGTTTTGCACGTTTGATTGTTCATCAGTACGATTTATGGACAAAGAAGCTGTCAGCTGACAAGAGGCATGATAATAAATGAAAGATGTACTAATAATTCTGCAGAGAGGAACCAACATCTATTCCTAGCATACGCACAAAGTTAGCAACTTGTAAACATAGAGGGCATTGACGTAGTTTCCTGATTGCTGCACCACTAAAGTTTTCTTGCTATTTATGCTTTGAGACAATAGGATCAATAGAACAATAGGATTTTTAAGGGAAAAACAGTTTTAAGGCTTGGAAAAGAAACAGTGTACATTGCTCTGCAGAAAAAGTTTCTCCAAATTCTTCCCCCCTAAAATATTCTGTAATAATGGGTTGAAAAATTATGAGAATGAAATTTTTGCACACATTGAATAATGGTGGCATTTCCCATAAGCTACCACATCAGCACACTACTGTACCGACTTAATTACAATGTGAACAATGTAAACGTTGTGAAACCTATACGTAATAATAGGACAAGCCATAGAGCGAGCACACTAATTGCCCTGGCTTTGTAAAGAGTGGTCAAGAAAGAAAATTCTTAGATAACAAAAAAACTGAACAGATAAAAAGGGCTTACCTCTGCACCTCTCACTTTTGAAATGTGCTTTTTCACTAGAATTGAACTGAAACACAGACAAAAATCAAGTAAAGTTGAAAAAACCTAAAATTTGTTTCATTCTGATAGAGAGCCTTTTTAGAGCATAGCATCTAACACATAGTGGATCCTAATGAACACTTTAAAATGTTGCGATAAAAGGCTGCTTTAGCTAAGCAACTGCTTCCATAATTGAACCATCTGACTGATTAATTTGATTACATGAAAATGACAGTAGCGTGGCGTGAATTGCAATATATCGATTGATGAGTAATTTAAACCTGCAGTAAAGAATCGATTATCAAGGTGTTCGCTGCGAACACCCTGTTTATCCATCCTTTTCCATAGGTTTGAACGGCAGATCATTCGATATATCGCAAAGCTCGCCACACCACTGGAAAATGATTTGGTTTTAAATTTGAACGCTGTTAAATTATTGAATGGGTTGTTTCAAAAATTGTCCCAGCTCTATGCAACTTCAGTTCTTCTTTTTATATTTTAATTTTCGTAAAGAGTAGATATTCAATAGTATTTTTGATAGGAGCATTCCACAATTTCATATTCTAATCTTACGAGAAAATATTGAGCAATCACTTTATGGAAAACATCGTTTTTTCTCCAATCAATAAAAAAATATACACAAAAGAAATGAAACATTGCAATAATACGGGAAGGTTTCAGAGAAAGATGGCGCCTTTTGATTTAGACAGAGAGGACTAAGAGGTTTTTGATGGTGCCTCGATTTCTTTATTATTTAAAAAATTTCATGTCTTTCAAGAAACAAACCCATCTCCAGCATAAATTAGCCTTAAAGACTTGTGCTGTTTGATGAAAAAACAGATGTATTCTGTTAGAAAGAGAAGGTCTTTGTGAAATCATCGTAATAAAAAACAGAAAATCCTAAGACTATACTATTGCCGATAGTGTAAACAACTGGTTTGAGATGCATTATAAAGAATACATCCACAAAATTTTAAGTTTCAGTGTTGCTTAGTTTTCTGTTCAAAAAAATAAAACAAAACAAATTAGCACAGTTAATTATCGCAGCTTTTAAAATAGAGCACTTCAGATACTGAGCGTAAAAGATAATATTTTTGTGAGGTTTTGACGGATTGGATAGGAATTGAGAAAAAGTTTACCTTATGTTCAAGTCCAGGAATATAAAAATCCTCCTCTGACAGCTCTTCCTTCCAAAAGGGAATGCAGAGGAGATACCCGATTTCAGGGATGTAGAGTATGGAACAAGTCTGAATGTACTCTGGTAAGTTACGCAGTTCTTCTCTGGCCACTTCAGCCATTTTCATCGGAATATTTCGGTGGAATTCTTTCACTGAAACATTATTTACACTCTGATACAGACTCTTCGGCTCAATGAAAAGAATCAAAGTCCTGATCAGACTGACATATGAAATGATACGCAAGGAAAACTTCTGATTGGTAGTCAATTGTGGCATCATGTTAAATTGGACTGAGTTTAGCAGAAAGGAACCAACCCATATTTTTGAAAAAATTGAGTCATGAATGGTTTTGAACTCAACCACTGCTCTACTATCTATCGCCGAAAATTCAAAGTTTTTGTTGGAGCAAATTTAGCAGAAATCGAACTTGAAGTTTATTTTTGACATTGAGTCTTATGCAGGAGCCAAACTTTAAACCTCTTTTTCTCGGTTCGATCCCGATGTGGCTTGGTTCCTTTCTGTTTAACTCCATCCAATTAAGCATCAAATAAATATCATGAAAACTGAAATTTTTGTCACTAAGTGTGACCTTACCCTTTTTTTGACCCCAACTTTTTTGATACAGATTATATACTGCGGGCAGAGGAGTGACTAGGATTCTAAGCATCATGCATCAGAACATGTGGAGTGACAATAATGGGCCCGTTGCAAACTTTTGTCAGAGCAAAAATAAGAGTTGTAACTCATAAAATGTGTCTCAAAAATCATGATGAGCGCATCAGCAAAGTCTGAAATGCACTCCTCACTTCACAATTTGCGTGAGAAATTTGTGTTTTTTGGAGCTTCCCACTTCAAGAATGATACTACGGCACAGGTGAACATTTCGTTAGAGGAGTCCTTCCACCCAACCCCTGCTCACAAGGATACTACACAAAATTCAACATGGCCGACACCAATCTGCCAAAACACATGTGCCTGGACGATGATTTTAACCACCTGATAACAATTGGCGAGTTTACATTCACATTTTTCTCGCGTTGATAGATATCAGCCTTGATTGACCTCGTGCTCTCCTCAACTTGCGCATGAAAGCGTCGGCAATGTTGAGCAGGGATTGAATGGAACGACTCCAATAACAAAATGTTCACCTGTGCCGCAGTATCCTTTTTGAAGTGGGAAGCTTAAAAAAACGCAAATTTCTCATGCAGATTGTGAAGTTAGAAGTACATTTCAGAATTTGCTGATGCCCTCATCATGGTTTTTGGACATTATCCATACAGAACAACTCTTATTTTTGCTCTAGCAGAAGTTTACAACAGGCCCATTTTCTGTCGAATATTAACCTGCATTCCTGCAAACTTGTCGCATAAAATTTACCGTGCAAACGAGAATCTCCATTGAGAAAAGCCTAGCAAATCTTCAGTATGAATAAGTATCAGTAATTTTACGGGCAAATGATGATACCTCCAGGATCACTTGTGCTTCACTTTTTTCATCTGCAACAACCTGAGGTCTTTCCTACAATTTTAAAATGGATCAACTGGGGAACTAGAAAATGTACTTATTAAAAAGACGAAAAGTAACGACAGGATTCCCTTCAGTACTTTTGTTTGCTGGACACATACGGGTCATCTATGAAATAGGAATCCAAGGAAGATAGTGGGAAAGGTGGATATTTCAGAGCAGAGAAAAAACCAATTTGAGGTAAAAATGTTGATTTACAGTTTTTGATGTCAAGCGACTGCTATTACCTACTCCAAGGAATGTTGAGTCAAAAATTTAAGCTATGGTTTGCATGATACAACGTGTTATTCGTACACGTTTGAAAAGAATCGTTTCTGGGGTTGGCAATCTTTGACAGCATGTTGTTTAAATGCCAAGTTATTTGTCCTCAAACTTTGAATGACTCTAAGGATCGGTACTTGAAGGGTCTTTTTTGCCCCCAAATGATACGATGGTCCAATCTAAAATTGTGGTCTCAATATTTTTCTTACACCTTAAACTACTTTTTTCCTGATTCCATCACGTACTAAGAGGTAAAATGGGACAATGGTAACTCACATCTATCGAGCTCTGGACAAACATTTGGATTGACAACAAATTTCTCTTGGCTAACCGATTCTTTAAAGTCCATTATTTTCTTAATGTTTTGTTCAATGAAGTAAAGGTCTTCATGCAGACACTCTTTTATCTGAAATCAGGTGAAATGAAAAAGTCAAGAATTTTTGTGAAGTAAAGCAACAAAAAAAGTTATTGTTCTTAAACCATTAAAAATAAAAATCTTGTTTTGAAATTGAGTCAATGACCCTTGAGCATGAGGATGTTCAAATAGATCCTTGTTGGTAGGGTGTTCATAATAACTGATAAACTCTGATAAGACACTGTTATCGAGAAAAGCTGGACCTATCACAACTGTATAAGCTCAAAGTCGAAGCACAGTTCAATGCATGTCTGTCTTTTGCACTGCTTGACTCATAAAGCTAATATCCAAGGCAACAGGTCATTTTTACCAACTCCAAAAAACTACGACAGCTATAGTTAACAGCCTCCTTGACTATTTTCAAACGGAATCATTCCCATTCCTTCTAAAAAATCGAAGCAGACATCCTACTTGGAGCACAAGAGATGAAACTGACTAACATGACTAACTGAACTAATCATGACCCATGTGTTTGCACCGCAAATAGTTGAAAAAAATGGATGTATTTACGCTTAAAGAAACTATGGGAAAATGAATTAAATCAAGAAGAATCATATGCATAAGATTGGCGTGCTGCACAGTTCTTTTTGATTTAACTGATTTGCGTGTAGTTTTTTTTAGCATGCGCTAAATTGACATTGTCATCTTCTTCCTTTGTGTCACACATGGAAGTGGGAGAAATATTAAATACAATTGAATTGATGTTTGATTGAGTGAGCATGTGTATCCATCAGTATTGTTTCTAAATTTTGTGATTTTTACCGTTAGTACAAATGATATGGGTACGAAATATTAATGATTGTTATTGTTGACCTACGGCTCAACAATACAAGTTAGGAGGTTAAAATTTTTGAGCATTATAGTTGGAATCTTCGGGTTTATAATATGGATCTGCAAAAATAAAAGTTTAGACTTGATCTTAGACATACCTCACAAAGCAGATCTATATCTTCACCAGCAGTCCCACAAATTTCTCCAACCTGGATAACATTACAGATGGTCTGCAAAATTTAAGGATAAAAATAAAACTAGTTGAATTTTGAAGCGGCAAAACAATTTTGAAGGAGCAAAACAATTTTGAAGGTACTGCATGAACCTTAATGAAATCAATCAAAATATTGAGCCTAATTTAGAAAATTTTTATGGTTTTTTTTTTTTTATTTATTCATTTTTTATCATAGCATTTCCTGTGATTTTACTATGGGTGTATTTACCAAATTAATCGCAAAAATATTGATTGATAAGTATGCACCGCACAATGGGGTTTAGACTAAATATTCAAGAGCAGTTTTTACATTTGCTTGTTGATGAGATGTTTCTCCATTAACAGATAAGGGAACACAAAAGCACAACGGATGTACAAATAAATAAAGTAAACAAACCTTATACAATGACTTCCATTGAGCTACAGAGGCCCGAACCATTCTCATTCTTGTGATGATCGTCTGAAAATAGTAAATACGTTTTTACTACATTTTTAACATGCAGTGCTTTTATATTCGGGTTCATACAAAGAAAGAAGATGTTTCCTCACTCACTTGGCTGTAGTGCAAATGTGTAATGAAAACATGACTCGATTATCTGACTTTTTTTAATTGAACCTGCAATATGCATTTCATCGATTAACTGATACAAGGCAGCAAAATCTCTAATAGCTAATTTTTAAAATATGACTACACAACCATGATCGTTGTAGATATTCTCAGAGACTGTTGCTGAATATGTTAAATATTTATCCACCCATTCCAAGGAAATGATTCGAAAAGGAATTTCAGTCCACCACAACTCAAAATTGAATGGATGACTTCAACTTCTATCAGTGATGTTGCCTAAATTCCTCTCATGTTTTAATTTTTTAATAGAAATCCAAGAAATTTTTTGGTTAGAATCAACTATGTAGCAAACAAGAGGCGTAGCCCCCCCCCCCTTGTAACGAGGCAAATCCCGTTTCTTCAGAGGCACATACGTCCTCTGGTATAAGATAAGCCAACGTTACTGTAGTTGCCGGAATGAGCTCGCCGGGATCCTGGGTTCGGGCGCCAATTTTAAAAATGAATGAGTTTGAAAGAGGGGAAGAATGATCAAACTCTTGTATCTCAAATTTACAAAAAGAATGTCCGTTTATTAGCTAAATTTGTGAGGATCCTACACTCAAAATATTATGATAGCACTAATTTACGATATAATGAAAGAAAAGGGAAGCCGAAATGCCACTCACTAACGTGCACCTCAAGGCTTGAAATTTCAGGATACATTTAAGAGGAGAGGAGGAGTGAAGCTGGGCGAGATGCTACTCACTAACGTGCACCTCAGCACAGAAGAAGAAAAAAGAGGAAAGTGAAATGGACAGAGGGCTCGACGAGATGCTACTCACTAACGTGCACCTCGAGTCGAGAAAGATTTAGAAAAGATGAGAGAAGGGGTGACCCTCCGGAAAGGAGAGGGTGATGAACAATGTTTGGCTTAGAGGGCTATCAGATTGATTTGAAGCTATTGAAAGACGATCTCGACATTCGTCGCAAAATTTTTGTTACAAGAAAAATTAATTAAAATATAAAATTTACAGAAATGGATGTAGGAAAATTTCCTACAGAAGTTTATAGTAGTTTAGAATTTTTTACAATTTTTCGTTTCGGGTAAATCTACGGAAAACCCTGATTTCGCAGTTATCTTCGAGAGAGAAAAAAAGGAGAAACAGTATTCCATTTCTTTTCATTATTCAAACAGCTGATGTACCGTCACCGGGCGTCGTGGCGCGGTGTCGCCAAGCCGTGACACATTTGTCGCTATTTTGGTCTACAAAAGAATTGGAAAAACTTAAAACGGAGAATGAAATTCGTCGTTACACCCCTCACCCCCACAGTAATACCCATATAAAGATATTTACGAATCAAAACTGAAATAATACTTTTTTTACGATGGGGGATTACTTTAATTTAATTACTTACTGCAACATTTTTTATGTTTTTAAGACAGGTAGAGATACTTGTCACCAGGGTAGCATTATCAAGGAGCCTAAAAAATTGAATAATTTGGTGTCTTCTTTTCAATTCTTGCAGGTCATTTATTGGGAGGGACATTAATACTCTAATGGAAAAAAAAAAAAACGCATGAATATGTGTTCAGTGTTAATTACATTCAATTGAGAATATAAATTTAAAGTTCATTTCAAGAAAGTTAATAAAGAGGAATATTAGCGTCCTGCATTTTAGATCAGTAAAAAGAGGAGGAAATAATATTCATAGTATGAACGAGTGGCAGAAAAAGGTAGAAAATCTGTCATGATGAAATCTTTTTCACCAATGTGTTATGAAGAGTTGAAGATTTTTTTTTTTTTGACCTTCATTCTTAGATTAGAAACAAAGTATGTTCTTATTGAATCTTTGGCAACAATATATATCAATGCAAACGTTGCTTAAAAACGTTCCCTAAATTCCATTTAAAGAAATATTTATTTTTTACCCTTGTATACATACAATGAAGAAGCAAACTTTCATGATGAGCACTTAAGATAAAGGCAAAAGGAAGAGTTTTCATAGCTTTCAATGCAGTAGAAAAAAAAGCACAAATTTGAAAATCTTTTGAGAGAAAAAATATGTAGATGATGAATACCTTAAGCGTTTTGAACCTAAAGATGTCAAGCAGCGATCATATAATTTCAGAATATTTAGGCTATCTCGAAGACCGCATGATTTTTGTTTGTGATGGACGGGGAATACCTGCAATGCTTTGAGGGTTCCCATGGACACTGAAACGTAGTTTTGGCTGTAAAAAATGTATGACACTTATTAGTTTAATTACCTTTAAAAATAAAAATGAATAAAAACTCTGTTTTTCATTTTTACTTTCTAACTAACTTGCACCAGCAGGATTTAATCTATTGCATTTTGATAAATGTAAGGGGTTGTTACGATTCACAAAATATTATTTATTGTATACATACGAGCACAAATAATTGCCGTTTCCAGTGTAAAAATTGCAGAGGTTTTCAGTGAAGGGGACATTAACTTAAAGTACTTTTTATTTTGCTGTTACAATACCAATACCTTAATTGCACAATCATGAATTGATTTTTTTGAGACTAGGCTTTTTAATTGTGTTTAAATCCTCAATTATAATATTTCTCTCCTCCTTTTGCCCCTTTGTTGTTTTCCTCTTCAAAAATATCTAAAAATAATGAATGTGAGTAATGTCGTGACGTAAAATGACACAGAAAGAGGGAAAGCTTCACAGATAAATGTTGAGAAATTTTCGGAAACTGCATAGAAATTTCTTCAAATCAAAAAATAATGACAAGGAAAATAAACATCCATTTTATTTTGCTTCTTCTCACATAAAATGTTACTTACATTTCCAAATTGCGAATGTTTGAAACAAACATTTGCTGTCTTTGCAAGGTTATTCTTGTCATCGACTTGTCCATGAATAGCAACAATCCACCTAAGGCACTGACTAAAGCTTCTGAACTCATATCGAAGACAGATTGGAGGTAAATCAATTTCTCACTCTCGGTGGCGTTTTGAGGCAAACAGGTGAGTTTCATTAAAGGAATTCGATGTTTCCCAATTTCGTATTCTGAATTTAGAGAATTGAAAAAATTTAAGAAAATTAATAATCTTTCTTTTCAAAATTTTTACAAGAAATTAAGAAGATGCTAGGCCAATTTTAGAAATTTTGTAACTGTTGATAGGATACATTGAGACCTGCCGAGAGAAAGTTACGTGATTGGTCGGTTATATCACTCAATTTATTTACCATGACCTTACCATGCCCTAAAACAGATTGTTGTAGATTATCTACCCTTAGGGTGCAATGAAGAGATTAAGTGGTATAAACTACCGATTAAATTACTCTGTTCCCGTTTAGCCTTATAATGTTCCACCGATTGAGACAAAATTTTGCTTGCTATAAAATACAAGGATTGTTCCAAAGGAAATTTCCACAGTTTTATTTCTTCAAAGCAACCAATGATGAATGAATGCGGTAAAAAGATAAATGTTTTTCATATTGTCAGCTTTTCAATGAGCTATCAAAGTTGAATTGGTCCACTGGTTCACTGGTTCACTGGAAAAGTCTGTTGCACTAGACCAACTTCCTCTGCATGCAATTTAAAAAATACCCCTAGTGATTTATCTCTTCAGGAACTGAATGAATGGACCGAACACCTACATGACGAACATTTTTATCTCAGCGGAAGGAAGTTCGCCACCAAAGATTAAGTCAAGAAACACTCACTTTTTGGCTTTAAAGCCGAAACGAGGACTTTTCTTCGGCTGGCATTAGAGAACTGAAACAATGATAACAACTAAGTGTTTTAAAGCAATGATAACAGCTAAGTGTTTGGACAAAGGAGAAAACTATATTGAAAAAGAAGGTTCTTAAGCACTTAACAACTTATCTTTTAAGGGGCCATCCGTTCGTTTTTACTGTTGCAATGTTCTCCATGTTTATGTTGTTACGCAATGAAGTTATATTTTTGGACCTGCTTAGAGAGGAAGTCAGTTCAGTAAAGAGGACTTTTCTAGCGCAACACCCTAGTAGCAGAGACTGTAAAATATCTCTTGAAAAAAACTTTAATTTAAAAACTCTTAATAAAACTGTTGAAATTTACGAAGAAGGAAACTCTTTGTGGGATTTTTTTACATAAAATTTAAAAGACATCAAATATAAGTACAATAAATGTTAGAAAAACTTTTAGAAATCTCTTGAAATAATACACTGGTTTTTTAGCACTTTTTTCACAAAGATTTTACCTTAAAAAGTTGTTTTGAAAAATCAGGTTTTTTTTAAAAGAGTTTTTTAACACTGTTTTTACTTAAATTTTGCCACTCGGGAATTTTACGTAAAAAAACCCCAAAAAAGGATCCAATCCTTCTCTGTAAATTTTGAACATTTTTTAAGAGTTTTTTTATTTTTTTAAAAAATAATTTTAACAGCCGTTGCTGGCAGGGCAGTGGACCAATTCCCAACTTTTCACTTTAATAGAAAGCCAAATGTTTGACACACCTTTTTTATTGCATACATTCATCATTAACAGTTTCAGAGAAATAAGACTACGATGCTACTTTTGGAATAACCCTCAAAATCAAATTATAGACATGGATGAGATAATGGATGAGCAGCAATGCTCAATATCTGTGCTTCTGTCATGCACTTACATCGCACTTATAAGAAAAGGAGATTGGAAAGAGACTCACTAAATTCATGACTGGGTAAAAAATGCAGTCTGTTCAGGGAGGGGGCTGTATCTGTAGACGTGGACTGACTGAAATCTGTCATCATTTCTTTTATGGTTTTGATGATATCATTAGGGAGAGAGCCAGTTGTAACAGTGTGCCTGGATGTATTTACAGTAAGAAAAGTTTAAGGTGCAATCAAGGAGATATTAAAGAAATATTAAAAGCAGATTTCAAATCCTCCTGTAATAAGGCATGCATGGGATGAAAATAAGTGATACAGGATGTTTCTGTCTTGGTCTTGCTCGGAATTATATAATTTAACGTAGTAGATCTTGGTGGGTATTGCTTTCACTAAGAAAGTGCATCGAAGAAAAACAAAAGGAGACAAGAAATACTTAATTGGAGTTTAAAGAGCACTTGAAGGAAGTTTATCTGGAAGACGAAGGGAGATGTTTTTTGTTTACAGCAACAGATAAGTACAGAAAAAATGAATAGGAAAAGCAAAAAGAGAATAAGTGCAATTTCAAACTAACTTCATGTACAGCATCTTGAATGTTTGAACTCATTTCTGACAAATTTCTTTACTCCTAAAATGAATGGAAAACTAAAAAGTCATGTATAAATAATTTTTTAAGGATTTCCTGTTTTGCCTGGATGAGTGTGGTACAACATTATAGTCCACGCCACGAAAAGTGGCGGCTGAGGGGCGGAGCCAGTCGGTCGGTCCAGTCTATTGTTGAAGGGTTGAAGCGCAGATATTGGCCCGTGGTTGAGCGACGACCGGCCGGGGTGAGTTCACACTGAACCTTGAACCCGGCGCCCGGCGGCGTGGCATCCAGCGTTACGCGCCGCGCCGCGTCGCGTATTCTCCCCAATTAGTGTGCCTACCAAAATTCCCTCAGCGGATATTTTCACTCGCAAATGTTGGGGATTTACTGATGTCTTACATGAACGCACTCGGCTCCGGCTATTTAAGTGCACTACTCAGTCCTTGAATCATTCACTCTTCTGTTTGGCATCCTTCAGTACACAAGTGGTGAAAATGAAGGACACTCATTCCGACAGTAAGAAAGTAATCCTTATGTTTTACACTTACATTCAGGATATAGCAGATAATGCAGAAACGCGTCTTCTGTTATTAAACCCTGAAGTTCCAGAGAGGGTTAGATTTCTGCTGAAATATCCTCAGAAGGCAGTGGCCGAGGCTTGCGGAATTTCCGTGAGGTCTATGCAGCGGTTTTGCGCTGAGAAGCGACGGAAAAGTCAAGAGTTTTTACCAGACAACGTTGTCCCGGCAATTCTTGATGAAGACGAACCCAACGAAAATAACAACAATAATGGTCCTGGTCATGAAATCGCACTGCTGGATTTCAATTCACCCAGAAAGAAGTACCGTCGTGAGGCTGGAGAGTGGAAATATTCGCTGAGGGATTTTCGGGAGACACACTAATTGGGGAGAATACGCGGCGCGATGCGTCGCGCTGGATGCCACCCCGGGCGCCGAGATCAAGGTGCGCTCAGTGTGTACTCACCCTGGCCGGCCGTCGCTCGACGCGTGTCTGGGGTAATGACTGGGCCTATACCTGCGCTTCAACCCCTCAACAATAGGACTGGACCGGCCGACTGGCTCCGCCCCTCAGCCGCCACTTTTCGTGGCGTGGACTATAGTCATGGTGTTCCCTGCGAATAATACGTAATCAAATTTTCAATCTTGGATGTGCTTTACGTGCGAGTCTTTGAGATTTAATAAATACATAGAAGGAAAAAAGTGGCGATTCTTATCTAATTACTATGTGAAAATTGTAAAATTCATGAGAGACTTACGCTGGATTTGTTTGCAAGAAAAGAGCACGCAAAATGTTGTAATCAGGACCCGAGTCTATGGTATCATTCAATACATGAATCTGTGGAAACAGAGAGAAGAAGCACTTTAAATTTAGACTTTCAAAAAAAATCTGACCTCATGTGAGCTTTTAAAAGTAAACGATCATGTGAAAAAATTCACAGTGTTGAGATTTATTCTTTTCAAATTAGATGAAAGGATTGTTTTAAAACAAAAATCAAGTTGATAGAAAGATACTTGCCAAATATTTGCCATCAGTAATACAGTCCTATACATTTAATTTGATATTAAAATTCTAATCGGTTTTTAAGCAAGAGTCTTGACAAAAAAATCTTACTCCCAAACAATATACATGAATGAATTTTCAAAAGTGACAAAGTGAAATGTGTGGTATCTTATACAGAGCACATTCGTAGCCAGAGTAAACACTGAAATTTGATCTGATGTTGGCTGGTGCCTAAATAAACACTTCTTTGGATAAATGACTGTATCAAATGATCCAATACTTAATTGAGCAAGGTATATGTTACCAGCGAACCCAAATTTTCAAAAATATGAAAGAAAAACTTCTACCATTCTAACGAAATTTAAGTTGATGAAGAACCTCTAAAAAATGTTCCTGATCCACAGTATCATTTTTTAGGAATGTATTCAAACTTTCTAAAGGGTAAATTGTGGCTATTAAACTCTACAAGGATTCATTGATAAGATGATACAATAAAAGTTTGTTCAGAATTGACAAAAACAGTCTTTACCCCTGCCTCATCGAGGTTACCTGAGACTCTGCTGAGTCACAATGTAACTTTTACAGGTCTCCCTAAGAAAAAAATAAATTGCTTAACAATCAACTATAAATACAGCCAATGGTTTTATAGACAATATGTTCTGTGAGAAAAAGAAATTAACAGTTAAGTTATGATTACCATAGAGGTATCAGTGTTGAAAGTAGCAGCTCCAAGTTTACCTTTCTTCCAAAAAACGGATAGAATAATCTGAAACAAAGAACCAAATATTTCAATATTCATGGATCATGGCTATCATAAATTGAATCCATGAAATTAAGTTTGTATGCAACCACAAACATTTGAAACAGCTCAATAAAATGCACCTGGTAAACTGAACACAAATGAAAAGATGCTCACATCAAGTTGGCACAACGTTCACTCCTCTTCAGCAGAAGGTCATGATGATTTAGGAAATTGAACAAGACAGGCCCTATTGATATAGGAACACTTGGACTAGGCTGAGCAGACAGGGACCAACAGACACTTCGAAAATTAATTGAATACAAGTAGTTCAATTATTTTCTCTGATCAAGAATTTGATTACTAGAAAAAATTACCTAGTGCTTCATTTGTAGAGTTCAAGGAGTTCAAATGTATGAGTCTTAAATAGTGATAAAACTTCAAACCTCTTTTAGTTACCTCCTTTACTACTACTTACTACCTTACTTACTCTTTTACTAAACCTCTTTACCCCCTTCGGGAGATGATCCTTTTTTCTAACTCCAATCATATTTTAAGAAGGCTTTTAGGTTTATTAAGCTTTGATATTAATAATTTCTCATATTTTTGTGTGAATCCATGCAAGGTGATGAATGGCTATGCTACTGTTCCAGAAAACGTGAAACCTCCCACGTAATATATGTACCTAAATTTTTCAAAACAAGTTAGGATTCCCTGAAATACTTCATCCATTACACCCCACAATAAGGTTGATTATGAGAAGTCGCTGCTGATGATGGGAGCTAAGGTCCCGAAACATGTCCCGTTATTTTTAAAACAATTTTTTACGCAAGTGAGTGTGTTTTTACCAAAAATTGTCTTTGTGTTTTTAAGGAACTTTAACTTGTGTAGGCCTCTAACGGTATTCAAAGTTGATTATGAGAGTTATTGAGTAAGTACCTACCTGTGTGCTTGTGAAAGGATAGTGCATAAAACTAAAAAAAAGGAAAGAAAAGAAAAAACAGATGAATATAATGGGATCAAATAAATGTCTCTGGAAGAGAAGAAAAAAGTAGGAACATGCGTTGTTTCATATCACTCACATCCTCTTGAACATCTGATGTTTCCTGGACTGCACTTGCATTGGGGGTTGAAGAGACTAAGGGAGCTTCGTTCAGAACACATTCTGGTACTAAAGGATTGGGTGTTGAGGAAGAGCTGCAGCTGGGTTGAAACTGTCGGGGCTCTGTTGAAAATGATTGGTATGAGCATTCTGCAGGGTCATCTGCATCATAAGATTTGTCACTGAAATCAGGGAAAGTTTACAGTCGTAAAAGTAGCTCAATAAAAAGAAAATTTGATTTAAAAATGAGCATTCAGCGAAGTTATACAATTCTCATGGGTATTCATAATTTTAAAACTCTAATTGGTTTTGTACTTACTTAAGAGTGCCATCAAATTATTCTTATTCACCAAGAATATTTACTTACTTACCTAATTTATAGGTAATTGGTAATCTACCTGCAAGATTGTTTTGCATCTTTTCTACTTGTGTTTTCTTCAATTTCTGAAAATTATTGGCATGTTGCACTCAACGGCAGGGAAGAGCTCTATAGGACATTGAACAGTTATTGTGAGCAGCCAATTGCAACACAACCTTGCGTATCCTTGTAAATTCCGAGAATCTTTCCCCAAACCTCGATCCATCCATCGCCCGCTCCGTAAGTAATGAGCCAATGATAATTGAAAAATAACCCTTGAGGTGGCTTTGTTCTAATAAATAGGTGCGTTTTTGGCATATTCAGATCCCTACTGACAAGGAAGGGCACGCAGCTAAGTATAAGATTAGGTGAAAAAGTCAATTTATTGCAGATGAGTATATGTATGCGATCCGACAGATTTGTTGTGAAGTCCAAAATCTGATATTAGCAGTCAATTGCAAGGATACTGCGCAAAGTTGCAGCACTAATAACTGCTCCCGGATTTTTAAATTGGCTCTTATGTAAATCTGGGGTCCTAAAGAAATCGTCTCTAGCACCAGGTAACAGGTGGGTAGTTTGTTGCTGAACCCTGCAAGTAGCATTTCTCGACGGGACAATCGCTAGATATTGCGATTTTATCGCCGATAAAACTGCCAGTATCATCATCATCTCAGCAATTATTCTCAATCTTATCATGATAAAATTGCACTTTAATCAATTGATAATTTATCGCGATATTTTTTAAATAATAATTGCAATAAATGGCCATTTAATCTCGATTTTATCGACAAAAAATGATCACGATTTTATCCAACCAAAAATTGCCATGTGTCATGTATCGCAATTTTTGATACGGTAATATCTCGATATAATATCACTGATATAATTACGATAACCAACCAATAAAATCGCTACTTATCGCGATTACTGCTACTTCTGAAGTGAGGGTTCACTCTGATAAAGGGCCATCAGAAAAAGAAGCTTTGTTTTCATTATACATACATATATGATGAAAGTAAATTAATTTTTTCCATTGCAAAAGTTCACAAGAAGCTTGACTACTTACATGGAAGACGTAGTGGAGTTACAGCTGGGCTGATTCAGTCGGGAATCTACAGTGAGGGACTGATAGGAGCATTCTGCAGGATCATCTACATCGTAAGATTCGTCACTGGAATCAAGGAAATTAAGTTCACTGTTGAAAATGTGCCTGGCTTGATAAAGTAGAAAATTTTATTTTGAAGTAAACATATGAGGGTACAACAAAAGTTACTTCCTATAAACTATATAATTTTCAAGGGTACCTAAGTACATGTATTTCTTTGCAACTCTATCTGTTTGCTGTTAAATGACTGTGGATAGTAGAGCCCGTTTCAGAAGTAGTCCTCTTTTGCTGTACTTATGTGCCAGTTACACAATTACTTATTTATCCTGCCCATGCAGTGAAAAGAGGACAAATAATCTGGAGCGGGCTCTCGAGTGTAAATATGCCAAATAAGTGTATGCACTTTTGGAGTACGACAGAAGATCGCCTGTCTTCGGTTATTAGCATTGAAAATGACTGAAAAATGAAAGAAATAAGCCAATGAAATGAATACAAGAATCAAAGTGGCAGATCTTCGGTTACACTAGTGGCTACACTTGCTTGGTATGGACAATAACAGGAAGGAAGTCAAAATCAATTAAATTCATCTTCACCTTGGGCAGCTCACTTGAGAAACAGCTAGAAACAGAAAATGGTGAAGTGGACGTATGTCTGTCAAAGAGAACTATGTGCAGTATGCAGGTGGGAAAGATGAGGTCTGTTCGTTACTCAGTGCTCGGACCATAATGGGAAATATAAAGCGCCAGTGATGAAGCTATCATCGCGGCTCGGTGGGGGGAGCATTAAATCATGAGTCCTGGCCACAACGCTCTAGACACATGTCAATGGCTCATATGCAGGCTGCATTCAGTTAGCTCACAATTCTGTTTGTTAAATTGGAAAAGCAGGATTTTACATTTTGTCAAACAGAACTATATACTAAGTGTAGAAGCCATGGGCATGTGTCGAGAGCATTGGGGACAGGGCACATGAGTTGATGCACACCACGCTGAGCCATGACGATGGCTACGTTACTGTCTCTTTATATTTTTTCATATACCTATTTCCCGTTCGTTCTTATGGCCCGAACACTATCGAACACACCCTATTTTTCCCACCCGCACACAGTTCTGTTTGACAGAAATACGTCCAAATAGACTAGTAGCAGGGAGAGACAGGATACTGTATGCCCTTTTTCAGCTGAATATTTCAAAGTAATCGTTTAATATCTTACACCTATGCATAAAACTTTTGGACAATAGAATGACATGGCGCACAAACTTCCTTACTTTAACAAAACAAAAGTAGAATTTTAGGAACTGTCACGAGAATTGATTACATACCTAAACATCTTGTTCTTGAGGTGGATGAATTTCAAGCTTATTTTAGGGGTTTACAATAAAACACAGCAGAGAATACCGAACGAGGAGCGATAGAATTGACAGAATGATTTTCTAATTTCTTAGCCGGCTTTAGCGCTAAGGTTAGGTCGTTAGGTCATGAGTGATTATGATTGGTGGATTGGTTTTTTCGGAGAGCCAATGGAGAGCTTGTCCTTGAGAACTCGCTTTCGTTTCCGGTGTAGACCGGAAATTCGGTTGGAAATCCTCTTTCGTTTCCGCTGCAAACCGGACATCGTCGACCTTTTGGCGTTTCTGGTATTTACTGAATCATTTTCCACATGGCCATTGCAGTAGGGATGGTCGAATATTTGGATAATCGAATATTCGATATTCGAATTATCGGCACCGAGATAATCGCATCACATTCGAATATTCTCTACCGAAGTATTCGAAATCGCAAATTCGAATGTTCAAATGCGCACTCGAATTCGATAACCGTCCATCCCTTTCGTCAATCTCGTTATTAATTAAAACTCGTCCACGCAACTCCACACGAGAATGACTGACCGTCTTAGTTAAAAGTGTCATTTATCTTTCACGGTTCATAAAAAATCAAAAATCGAAGCAATAATCGAAAATATTCGAATATTCGCTTCCGAAGTATTCGCAATCGCAAGAATCCAATAATCGCATTCGAAAAGTTTCGAATATTTGAATAATCGCATTCGAATTCGATATTCGTCCATCCCTACATTGCAGCAACAATTCGAGCTTGGGTGCGCAACAATATTCGTAACGTCGTTAACATTTGGGTATTCGGACAGTGATTAAAATGACCAGTAAAGGTGCTATTCCATGTGTATTTCGTTTGAGAGGGCATCATACATATCGACGGTGAAACTACCAAACCACGTATCTCGGTTTGCGGCGTCGCAGACTTCCTGTCATACTTTATTTTTTAAATGAAAAACTACTTAACATTCAGTCTTGAAAATTTCTGTGATTTTTCCTCTTTGTGCGGAGAAAATTCCGTGAAAATTTCAAGGAATGATATGGATTTGGTCTACTTCAAAAAAATAAAATGTGAGCGTAGATTTTTAAACACCGCAAACGAGATACGTGGTTTGGTAGTTTCACCGTCGATATGGGCAACTAGACATACAAATCACTGGCCCTTATAGAAACAGTTCCTCTGCGAAGTATATCGATAGATAAGTGAGAAGTGTCACTGGAAAAGCTCAACCACAACTACCATTGAACCTTACATACACACGGGTGTATGTGAGAACAATAAAACCACGTCCTGTTTTGAAAACGCCTTCAAATGCGGTGTGATACCTCACGCATTCCGAAGAGTTCAAATAGTTGTATCATTGCGCCTTAGAAATGCGGCGGAAGATTACAATTGAAATAGCCTTCATGCACGCTGGCCTTCTCGATTTCCGTTAACATTTTTGCAGTCATGAATGCGCTTAAGTGCGCTTCAACTAGAATTGTATTTAGCAATTGGGTGGTTTTTATAGGTGGATTATAATTAAATAAGTGGTTAGAAATGGAAACAAAAGAATATGAACTATGCAAAACGATTATTCCGATATCGGAACTTGGCTGTTTTGAAAACGCCTTCAAATGCGACGTGATACCTCACGCATTCCGGAGAGTTCAAATAGTTGTATCATCGAGCCGTATGAATGTGACGGAAGATTTAAATGGAAATAGCCTTCATGCAGGCTCGCCACGTCCCATCTCGGGCCCTGGTACCAATTTTAAGGGCCGGGCCCCAAGCACGGAGGGGGGGGGGTCCGAGGGGCATCCCCCAAGAGATTTTAGAATTTATACGACTAATCGGACGCATTTTGAAGCTTCCCTAAAGAATTTTCCATCCATTTCTGCGCAGTAATTATGTTTTTTTTTCTACTTTCAACACAAAATACTTGCGAATTGTTGCATTCAAAACATCTGGAAAATTTTTATTTTTATTTTTTTTTGGGGGGGGGCATATGATACTATTTTCAGTTCTATGAGGGCCAGGCCCCCTTGGACTCCCCCTTCGTTTGTCTATGGCAAGGGAGTTGAGCCATGAGCCATTGAAGTCGAGGATGCCCAGACTGGAGACTCTTAGCATCTGACGACGGAAGAAAATGAAACGCAGTTACTAAAAATATCCCTCTGTACTGAAAATCTTGAAAACAGATAGAAATTTTCCAAGAAGTATACTTCTTTGAAAATTTAAGAAGACTTCTACAGTGCCCCAGCGTGTTTCTGAAAATCTATTCACCTTTTGCGAAATTTTTAGGGCAAATTTTTCACTTCTTTTTACGAAACAAGGGTTGCATGTGAATTCGTAGTGGTTTTTCACGGGTAACACGGGCCCCGGTACCAGGGGCCCAGTATCCCCCCCCCCCTTGTGGCGGGCCTGGTCACAACGTTACTGTTGCACCCCTCGAATGATCTTCGGACAGTATCGTGACAGAATTTTTGGCAATAGTTATAAGACTTTACCGAAATAAAAATATTTAATCGTGGTAACAAGGGATGATTAAATTTGTAGACGTATTGAAAAAAAAGTTCATCCTCTTGTAAGGATGCTTGTTTTTCATTTTTGAACTATTTTATTGCTCAAGTTCCGCCTGGAGCAGCATAGAGAAAAAAAAGGTGGTGTTTGCATCTTGAGGTTTGTTTACCCTGTGACGTAGGTCGGTATAACCTGGCCAGCGAAATTCAGAATTCGAAGTATGAAAAACGGACCATATTATCCGATTTTTTTCTTAAATCAACTCATGGTATAATTTCAAGCACTTTTTGTAGAATGACTTTTTTCTATAAATTACACCATTTCCAAGAAAATCGATGATAAACTCGTTGTACCGACCTACGTCATCCAAGATGCCCGAAATGCAAACACCTCCCTTTTTTTCTCTATGCTGGAGCAGAAACTGCAAATTGCCGGAGATAACGCGACTTCCAGTAAATCTGATGATCTGATTGTGAGACCTATCATTCTTATAGGAGCCGCCGCAGCGCAGTCATGCCTTCGCCGAGAACGCCGTGCCTCGACGTCAAGCAACTATTAAAACCCTCGGGAGATCTCATTGCATATCCGATTAAATGAAGGAGTTTCTTGTGTATCGGGTGGTCTTACTCAGATGTCGCGCTCCGTCGCACCATTATGTCTCGATTTCGAGCAACCATTGGAATTTTCAAAGATCAAATTGCATATCCGATTAAATGAAGGAACGTTAAATGAATCGAATTTAAGAATATAATGAAGAGAAGAAAAATTATGAAAATTTCCAAAAAATGACGTTCATTAGTTTTTTATGTAGAAAATAAAGTATGACAGGAAGTCTGCAACGCCGCAGAGCCGCAGACCGAGATGCGCATTTCTGCAGTTTCACTATCGATATATCGTCACCTTCCAGGCAAAGTATCACAAGCGCCATGCGACGTTTAAAAATTTCCGCCGCCATTTTATTTTTTTACTGAGAAATTGTTGGTTGAATCTGTTCGAAAATTTCACTAAATTTTATCGGCAGCACAAAGAAAATTCGGTGTAATTTTCGGACAGCTTCGTTGAACAATTTCTCTGTAAAAAAATATAATGGCGGCGGAAATTTTTAAACGTCGCATGGCGCTTGTGATATTTTGCCTGGAAGGTGACGATATGCCTCTGCAGAAAATACAAAATGCAAAATACAAACTATTAATGCGGTAGAGGTGAAAAAAATGCAAACTTCCGTTGCAACGTTAAAAAATCTCCGGTTATATTTTGTTTCTTGAAAAAAAATCCAAAATAACTTAAAATTTAGCGTGAATGTTTGGGTATTGGGTTAGTGAATAAAATTCATAGAAAACCCGTTAGTTTTCTTGAAAGAATTAAAGCTGGAAAACCTTGATGAGGAAATGCCACAAAGTAATATCAGCGACAATCATGGTCCTCTGCCATTGAGTTGGGGCGATACTCTTGAAGGCGCTCAGAGCAACTATTCCGCCACGGAAGTATTGCACAGTATCAGACGAAATTGAAGGCGCACTAACGTACGCAAATTGACTGATATCGTTTACCGCTGTGAAGGGTCCACCAATCCCACGATATGATGCTCCTTCTCGGTCGATTTTTGTGAAACTTGGTATCAATTGGCAATCTATGATTGAAATCTTGAATTTTTCTCAAATTTTCGAAATTCGAAAATGCAGAATGGTGTGTGAGGCCGAAAGTACTGTCTCGGTTCGAGATCAATCGATTCTTGTGAAACTTGCTGCCACGCTGTATCATAATTCTGATATAAAAGTCAAATTTTCAGTCTTTGTTTATTCAATATTCAAAAATTCTAGTTGGCGGAAATGGCTTAAAATGTTATCTTGCGCCTTCGAAATTATCCAACTTTGCAATCGGAATACATCTATTCTTTTTCTGTTCAGTTTCAAAATTGATAAACTCTCAGCTATTAAGGCTGATTTGACCTTAACTTTTTTTAAAAAAATATAGACTTCTGTTTCTGTATTTTTTGCAGAGGCAAATCATTGAAATCATTTTGAAGAATCCATTTTTAATCATATTTTACTTGAAGTTCTTAAAAATATTCCCATTATAATGCAGTGTTAAAAGCATCCTATACTTCCCTTGGTCACAGTGTATACTATATCAGAGCCTCCACAACCACACGGTCTCTCAAAGGATACGAGTTCATTTATGCATGGCTCATTGACGGATCCTGCAACTTCACAAAATTGTTTTTCATCATGAAAACCTCGGGAAATATATCGATTCTTGGAAGGACCAGGTGCTCCGACAAGAATCGATTATTTAACATAGGTTTAATAGGTGGGAATCCGGTGTTGCCAAATTTCTGGATACCCCTCTGGAATGCCTGTGAAACGGTATGTCGACGGTGAAACTACCAAACCACGTATCTCGGTTTGCGACGTCGCAGACTTTTTTAAATGAAAAATTACTTAACGTCCAGTCTTGAAAATTTCTGTGATTTTTCTTCTTCGTGCGGAGAAAATTCTGTGAAAATTTCAAGGAATGATATTGATTTGGTCTACTTCAAAAAAATAAAATGCGAGCGTAGATTTTTAAACACCGCAAACGAGATACGTGGTTTGGTAGTTTCACCGTCGATGTGCACTATGCTGCCGTGCTAAGGAAAAACGCCGTATGAACATTTGAGAGTTGCCAAATGTCTCGGGATAAAACATGTATTTTTAGGAAAGTTGTGCTTAATTTCCCTTTGTATTTTCAGATATTGTGGATGAAACAAAGAAGAAAATTGGCTGAAAATGTAAAAAAAAAATCATGACGATTTTCCCCAGTAAATTCGTTTTTTATTGAAAGAAATATGGCGACGTATGAAGGCTCTTATGGCATTCTTCCTTACCACGGCAGTATAGTAGAAACTCATGTAGAAACTCAGTGTAGGAGAAACTCATTACAGTTTAACCACTTGTTCTTTCTTTTTTCTCTCTCTTCTGGGTGTGAGGTGTTGGCGGACATAGAGGCATTTTTGACGACGAAGGTGAGAACACAGTCTCTCGTTCCTTTTATTCTTGCCTTCGAATTCCATTGGTTGCAATAAATTTTAATCGCATGGTCTTATTGCTATTGTGTAGGAGTGTTGCGTATGTTGCCTATTCACTAATTGAAGGGGCTCCTCTCACTGAAATTCGTAGCAATAAGATTGAAATTGCCGTTTCCAAAAGCGCCTTCAATTGTGGCGTGATACCTTACGCATTCCGGAGAGTACGTAGAGTTGTATCACTGCGCCTGAGCAATGCGATCGAAGATTAATATTGAAGTAGCCTCCACGCTGACCTCTATCTGTCGGTTTTCCTTTGCCGCTATTGCAGTTTTGAACGCATAGTTTAAGTGTGCTTAAGCTAGAATTGTTTTTAATAATTTTTACGGAAGAACTAACAATAAATAAGCTGTGAAAAATACAACTAAATAAAAGGGACTTAAATCAAGAATAAATTACAAGAAATCCTAGTAAATCATGGAACGGAAACACATCCGAGAAAATTACACACTAATCATAAACAAGATAGAAAGTTCCTTATAAATAATAAATTAAAACGAGGAGGTCTGCGCCCTGAGTAACTGTCGCACTAGCTCGTAAGATCAGTCATTCCATTTATCTCATGCTCCGAATTTTATGCGACGCGAGAATCTCCGTATGGAAAGTTTGCCGTTTCCAAAAGCGCCTTCAATTGTGGCGTGATACCTCACGCGTTCCGAAGAGTACGTAGAGTTGTATCACTGCGCCTGAGTAATGCGATCGAAGATTTCTATTCAAGTAGCCTCCACGCTGGCCTCTACCTACCTGTCGGTTTTTCTTTGCCGCTTTTGCAGTTTTGAACGCATAGTTTAAGTGTGCTTAAGCTAGAATTGTTTTTAATAATTTTTACGGAAGAACTAACAATAAATAAGCTGTGAAAAATATAACTAAATAAATGAAACTTAAATCGAGAATAAATTACAAGAAATCCCAGTAAAGCATGGAACGGAAACACATCCGAGAAAATTACACACTGATCATAAATAAGATAGAAAGTTCCTTATAAATAATAAATTAAAACGAGGAGGCGTGCGCATTGAGTAACTATCGCACTAGCTCGTAAGATCAGTCATTCCATTTATCTCATGCTCCGAATTTTACGCGACGCGAGAATCCCCGTATGGAAAAAAAAAATTTTGCATTGCAAAGTGCCTACTTTTCTCTCGCACATATGGAACTCATTTTTATAACAGTTTTTCAATTTCACTACTTATTAACCAATATATGTAAAAATATCGCAATTTCATGGTCAAAAATGTGCAATTATTTTTGTAAAATTAAATTGCAAAATTATTTCAATATTATTGAAGCATAGTGCTACTAAGGCTTCGCTGTGGGTAAGAATTACAAGCGCTCTTCGAGTCAGTCTTAAAACTTTTTTTGAGAGTTCCCATTCTTCATACTTTAGAATACCGCGTTTTATTTTTAAAATCCCGATTCGACTTGCGAAATCCATTTTTTTTCGTGCAGAATCTACAGTTAATAGTCCATGAGAATTAACGATCACAATCTCTCCCCCCGCCCTCTTCACCACACGCAGACTTTTAGTTCACGGGGAGTGTTGGAGGCATGACGACGGAACATCCTATTAATTTCCGCAATTCTGATAAGGATCCAGGATATGCTCAGAGAAAACCAATTGATAGACGCGCTCGCGGTTTTTCAAAATGCGTTTCACACGGTTCAAATCAAAACCGCGAACAAAATGTTCCCATCACAGGGACTATAAAAGCTGACATGTCCGATGAATCAAATCACTGTTGTCTGTGCCCTCGGCGGACTTTCGATCTTTGTCAGGTAAGTCTCTGAGCTTTTTTATTTTTTCCATTTGTGTCCATCACGTAATTGATTTTGCGCTAAGTGGCGATTTTCGCATACTGCGGTGTTAAGGAAAAACGCCGTATGAGCCTCTGGACGTTGCCATATATCCTCCAAATAAGGTATAAATTTACTGTGAAAATTGTGAATATTTTTCCTCGAAAATTTCAGTCGATTTTGTTCCGAATTTAGTCTAGGAGATCTGAAAATTTCAAGGAAAAATATTCATAACTTTCCTCAAAAATAAACATTTTATGGGTGGAAATTTGGCAACTCTCGAATGTTCACACGGCGTTCTTCCTTAGTTCGGCAGCATAGGACGCTGAGGAATATACACTCCTCAAGATTAATTTGGAAGTCAATTTGATGTTTGTCTTTATGATATGATATTAATCATATCTATGACTGAAGTCGGAAAATGCGTTTCTCCAATTCCTAAGTTGCAAATCCTCGATCACGTTTCATATATTAAAATTTATTAATTTGTTTAACAAAAAACTAGCGAACAGTTTTTTTTTATACATTCAAAAATATTTACAACGAATTTCAACAAATTATTTTGGTTACTTTTCTCTCGAAAAAATCGAACTTATTTCGAAGATTTTAAAACGCGATACCGAAAATTGACACGCATTATCCGACTTCAGCCATCGATATAGATTCGAATAAAAATGAAAGCCACCATGAATTTCGTCAGATTAGAGTTTGACGTCTTTATCTGCTCGACAAAATTTATAAGACCAGAGTGTAAATCCTTAAAAAAGTAATTATTGCTGGCTGCTGCACGGAGGATGTTTTCTGGCCTACCTCGAACATTGAAGGCGAAGTAGTTAAGTGCGCAACATTCATGCTCCATAATGCTACTTTCTCTAAATTTTCTGTACACAAAAAAACTGAGATTTTAGGTATAGTGTTTCTCAAAATTTAATTTTTAACTATTTAGTGGCTTATTTTAGTAATAGCTTTAGCAACAGACTTGGTAGCTATTTAAAATAATTTAATAAAATAAACTGGATGGGAAACGCGCCGGAAAGTAGGAGTTATCACGTGCAAAAGAAAAAAGAGGGATTCCAGATCAATATTTTTTAGCAGATGTTTTGTTCTAACAAGTGTAAACTTTAATTTTTTCAAGTTTTCAACTTTTTGATATTTTAACTCCTTTAACTTTTTAAGTTTTTATCTTTTTAAGAACTTCTTTAAATTATACCAACAGTCAATTTTACCCGGGTGTTTTCCAATAAATTAGTAGAATTTGAGATTTCTTGAATAGTTTGCTCATGTAAACCGATCAGGTTTCGGTCGGTAAGTTCTGTCTGTCTATCGCTATTAATATCGAATTTTCGTGATGCAAGAATGATCCGTCGTCGGTGCGCTTTTGTAATAGAATGACGTGCTTAACAAAAATTGATTTAAAGAACAAAGAAAAAGAAGAAACGTGAAGAGGATTTAAAGCCAACGTTTTAACGCCACCCACATGTGTTTCTCTTTTGATGCAGGTTAAATACAAAAGAAGAAAAACTTCATCATGTCTCAGACCCAAGGTGGAAGTGACCCAAAAGACCTTCTGTACATGTTTTACCGTCCCGTTGAACCAATTTTCATCGGCAAAGGTGACGAAAATGTGACTTTTGAGCTGCCCAGAGAATACTTGGTAAGTTTCTAACAGGCAGCATTGCAATACTGTCGTGCTAAGAAAGAACGCCGTATGAGCGATCGAGCGTTGCCAAATTTTTTTCGACAAATCACGAATTTTCATGGAAGTTTGTGAATAGATCTCTTCCGATTTTTCAGGGGATTTCGTTCGTAATTTGATCCAGAAAGTCTGAATATTTGAAGAAAAAACATTCATAACCCCCTTCAAAAATAAATATTTTTCGAGAGGAAATTTGGCAACATTCAAATGCACATACGGTGTTTTTGCTTATAGCTTGGCAGAATAGCCAACTTCGAAAAATACGTTATCTCCGATTGCAGCGTAGCAGATCCTCGATCATCTTTTATTTTTTTAAAAGAAAACTAACCACAGATTTTCACACAATCGGCAACACTTCAGTACCTACTCATCAAAAAAATATTCCGAGGAAATTTCAAGGAGACCTTAGATTATTTTTATTTCAGTATGAAGTAAAGCCTAATCAGAAATTTTCAAACGTCACTGTGGCGGGTATGCGTATTTTTCGACTTTAGTCATCGATATTTTATATTTTTCGATACTTAGGTATGTTTTTGTACAGCATGTTTAGAAAATGTTAATTTCATCAAGTTCTGTCTCCGTTGAATGCTTCGGCATGCATACAATTTTAAAATATTGGTTGTTTATTCTAATACTAGGGGTTGTACGGGTACACCCCCTGACCGCTTCGCGGTCTAACCCCCCGAAGCGCCTTGCGCATTGAGCATTACACGTTACGCGTTATCCTTGCGCTTTCATAGCATGGAGCAGGGCCGGATTTACCTACTTGCCGCCCATGGGCCGCCTGTATTTTGCCGCCGCCTTCTCATTCGTTTTGAAACATGAATAAAAACCATCAAGTGAACGTGCCGGAAGGGGAGGGGTGCATAAGACGCGTTTACCTGCTCGTGTTGGATACATTTCAAAAGTTGCAAAATTTCACGGAACTTAACGCGAAAGTTAAGTCCCGTAAACCTATCTCTGTGTGGACAAGGTCCTCCATTTATAAAGAAATGAACCAAAAAATTATGAAAGAACAAACATAAATGTGGTTTAAAAATTTTAACTTCCGCCGCTGAGCCACGTTGATCGCACTGTGTTTGGCGCAATGCGTGAAGTATTCCAGCAGTCTTGTAGGCGCTATGCGTTCCACGCCAACCGCTCCTGACCGCACTGTGTTTGACGCGATGCGTGAAGTATTCATGCAGTCTTGCAGGCGCTAATATGTGTTACATGCCGACCGCCGCGGCGCCGCGCCGAGGGTTTGTCCTTTTCATCTCAAGTCCTCGTCATCATTCCTCTCTGCGCTGAGCTGCAGGCCAAATTGCGGGTTTAGTTCCTCTTTTAACTTAACTAATTCTCTTGTATCACCGAAAAACGACAAAATTAGAAATTACTATACTCTCAGAAAAAAGAGATTTCGTTTCCTTTTCCTATTGATAATTTTTTTTTCTGAATCCGATTTTTTTATAGCTACATTTAAAAAAAATGCAAAATTTGCCACCCACTAAATTTGCCACCCACTAAATTTGCCGCCCCCTACATTTGCCATCATGAGCCGCGGCCCATGTGGTCACCCCCTAAATCCGGCCCTGGCATAGAGTATGATTTTTCCAACCAACGAGGTAAGGAAGAGAGACTTAACGTTTTTAAAAAGGGTCTAAAAGAACCAAGGTATAACTAAAAAATATAATTTTGCAAACTATAAATTGAGGGGCTTATGGAGTACAAGGCGCATCACCAGTGCAGTTTTTGCTATTTTGATATTACATAGATCCTTATGGTGGGAAGAAAGTTTAAACTGACTCCCTGATGCTAAAATATGGAATTTGGAAGCGAATTTTTCACAGAATATGCATTAAGACTACTTTTATTTGAAATCGTTAACATCTCAATTTTTTTAAAAACCGCACTTATGCGGCTTATCATTGGCGGATCCAGCAAATTGGCAACATTGTATTTGCTATATTTAAACCTATGGAAATGTATCGATTCTTGGAGGGGCCAGGTGCCCCGACAAGAATCGATCTTTTAGCATAGCTTTAAATGGAGAAAAACCGGTGTTGCCAAATTGCTGAATCCGCCTTTGCGGCTTATCCTCCAAGCCCCTCAAATGAACGTATTTCCGCTGAACGGAGCTGTGTGCATTATGACGTGAGCTCTATCATGCATTATATCCGTATGTGTCTCACGGCTCATGTCTTACTGCACATAGTTCCGTTTGGCAGAAATACGTCCAAATGATATACACTGAAAAAAAATTCTCGGCGTTTTTACCAAGGTCCGTTGGTACCTTTACCATCTCACTTTTTTTACCAATTATTGGTAATTTTACCAAGATAGACTGGTAAACTTACCTAAAAACCGGTATTTTTACTGTTTTTTTCAGGTAAGAATACCCTTTTTATTGGTAATCAATTCCCGGTAACTTTGCCATTTTATCTCAGTCGATGAAAAATATTGGCGTTTGTCCAGTAAAATTACCGAGAAAGTTCAATAATTTTACCGAGATTTCTCGGTAAAATTACCGATTCCATAAATGGTAATTTTACCAAGAAAAAACTGGGATCAAATAGAACCCTGAATTCTTGGTAATTTTACCCTTTTCTTAGTAAATACACCGAGATTTTTTTTTCCCCGTGTACATAGCTTTTTGAACTGATCACCGAAAAATGTTTCTCTCTTTTTTGTAGACGGATCGATACAAGCCGCTCGTGTCAGACATTCAGTCACGATTTCCCGGATCCAAAACTGTTACGATTCGATCGGTCCAGAAACTGCCCGACATCTCCAGGATCCTGCAACTCGATCGTCATGATAACTTCTCCCTGTTCATCCCCTATCACCGAGAGCTTGCTGCTCAACTCGTTTCTATCCTCATGGGTACATAATTTGTCTCTTTCATACGGGGGGATCCAAAAGTCCGGCAACACCCCCATAACCCCCTAGGATTCTTGCCCCTTCTCGCAGGGTGACGTTATCCCATTGGAATTTTGGAGGGTCTCAAATGAAACCTCCTTTGTTCTACAGACATTCAAATAATTTAAAATCTCTTTCTCAATGCATTTAAAAGTTACAGGGGTGATGCTTGGTGCTGGCGGTGCGGGATTTTTGGATCATTCTGTAGAATCCACGTATGAGCCTGACCAGAGATGCAAATTGAAATCTTGGTGGTAAATTAGGCTGAGAAAATTTCATGACATATCATAGAATTCTCAGGAGCCGAGTATGCAACTTGCACAACACAACTGAGGATTCAGGTGGAACTCTGAAGTTCGACTCATGATCATTTACTTATTTTTCAAAATTTCAAAATCGGGGTTTTACCGTTTCTTAGCGTTTTATTTAGCAGCTTGAGTCTTCCAAACTGGTTTAAAATTTTTTTTATTAAATTTTGAACGAATGGTTCAGCTAAATTACCCCTGAAGTAAATGAGATATTCTGTCACAGGAAAGAGCAAACCATAGAAGAAATTTAGAACGCACTCAGAAAAATTCACATTTGAGAAAATAAAATGAATAAATAACCCAAACTAGTTGATTTTTGTCCCAATGGAGGGCATGCCTAACGCATTTAAATGTTACATTTCGGAAGCTCAATACTAAAATGACAATTTGAAACCTAATTTTTTTCTTTCTTGCAAATAACTAAAATTTTTGAACGATTAACTCGATTTCGTTGTAATTCTGGAAAGTTAGTGAAAAACTCGTAAAAGCATCAATATTACTATGCCGCAATGCTGAAAATTTTAGTATACCTACTCCTTAATTGTAAGATCCCTTATTCTCTTTGACGGAATTTTTAATAGTTCCTCTGTTCTCTTCATCGTGTGAAGTTGGAGTTGCTGAAATGTGACAGCGTGGGTCGGGATCATTTTAGAATAACAAAAGGGTTTATATGGAATCGAATAATGAGACATTGGTGATTTTTATTTCAGGACTGAAGAGCTTCGACGAATTTCAGTCTGTCTGTGCTTACTGTCGTGACCGAGTGAATCCTTACTTGTTCATCTACGCCATGTCGGTGGCTGTGCTGCACAGACCTGATACCAAGAATCTTCAGATTCCCTCTCTCTGCGAAATTTTCCCGGAAAAATTCATGGACAGTAGCGTGTTTCTTAAGGCTAGAGAAGAGGCGATTGTTGTCCCAACTGCATCCCGAGTAAGTTATTCCCAAGAAGTCGTATTTTTTTTTTAAAAAAAAAAAAAATTTAATTACGAATTTTTAATTACGAGTATACCACTTAAATAATTGAATTTGGAATTTTGGACCCAAGTAAACGCAGGAGAGCACCGAGATTGGCCCTGAGAAAAGTACCTAATTTGAAGTTTCATTCCCTTATCCATACTGCTCAATGTTAGAGAAAGTTCAACATCCATTTTCTCTTCTAAAGTATCTTTTTCTCGACTTTGATTTCTTAATAAGAGAAAATGTGCGGCTACTTATGCTCAAGACTATATTCTTTACTCATTATTCCCCCTCAGAATTCGACTTTATCCCTTCTCGTTCACATGTGAATCGTAGGTATACCTATACACTCTCACTAGTGGACTTACGGGGGTGCAAAGTGTTTCACCCACTTTCTAGTTAGCAGAATTGTAGGATGGCGAAGGGTGAGCAGTGCCAGAGATTTTGGTCTGATTTCTTAGAGGAAAAAGTACGATTTTTCTCCCTACAAAATACCTTTCTTTTGAGGAGGACCGGGGGAGGGGGGGGGGGGGGGGGTATCAACCTCAGTTGGGGAGGAGGTCCTGCCTCTTTCACGTTTGCCAAGGCTTCGGTTGAAGCATTCTCGATTTCCGTAAGATTAAGCAAGTAACCCATCAAAAATATTATGTTCCTCATTGTATTTACAACAAATCCTACAGATGGCTATCGAAATACCCAGAGACTACTCAGCCTCTGACCTGGACATCGAACATCGTGTAGCATACTTCCGAGAGGACATCGGAGTCAATCTTCACCATTGGTACTGGCATCTCATTTACCCCTTCGAGGGCCCCAGGAACATCATCAACAAGGACAGGAGAGGAGAATTGTTCTACTACATGCACGAACAAATTTTAGGACGGTGAGATTAATTTTTCTAATTTTCATATTTATTTTTGTAATGCTGAGCACCTCGTAGCTGGGGGGGGGGGGTCCTGGGCCTGCGTTACGAGTCCGTAACAAGGGGGAGGAGGACGTCTAGGGCTGCGTTACAAGTGCAAGCTTAACGCCGATTTTTCGAAAATCTGAGATGAAAAATCAACGCAAGGTGGCAATTTGTCATTCAAACTCTGTCAAAAAGGGCTTATTTGAAGGGAGAAGCAAGACCAATCCACACAGGTCAGTCATTGCGCATCTTTTTGAAAGCCACTTCCCCGCCCGGCCCTAACTCAGCTGCACTCAATAGTACGTCACAATGGGTGCTCCCATAAGAAATACATTGCAAGCACTCAATAGTACGTCACTGCGCAGTAGAGTACCAAAACTCGTCCACGGGAATGACTGACCTGTGTGGATTGGTCTTGGGGAGAAGGTTGAACTATCAAATTTTTATAGGGGGCGGAGGTCTGTGTCATGAGTGCGTTACAATGAGGGGGGGTGTTAAATATTTGCAGCGTTACGTACAGCCCCATACGAGGCTCCCGGCGAAAGGCAGAAGACTTAAGGTGATTCGTCAAGCTCTCTGGCGTGGTCGAACTGGCAAGCGATATATCGCATTGCGATTAGGTAAAAAATCTCGGCAGCTTTTGAATTGTTAGCCAAAAAGGACGATTTCCCCTGCACATGGACCTAGAGAATAATTTACACAAAAAAATTAGCAAAATTCAGAGTACATATGAGCAAAATCCTGTTTTGAAGGAAAACCTCGTATTCGATACAATTATCGATTCCTGTATCGAATTTCGAGGTTTGTTTTCAAACAGAATTCTGCTTTCATTTCTCTGAATTTTGCTAATTTTTTGGTTTAAAATTATTCTTTAGGCTCATGCGCAGGGGCTGCTCTTGTTGCAGCAGATATCTTACTGTGCAGGAATAAGCCTTAGTTTATGCGTGGGTGCGTCGGTTCACAGACCGATTACATACTTCTATTATTTATTTTTATCTTGAAATAAAGATATTAGTCCATATTTATATAATGATAAAGTTTTAATTTTAACCAGGTACAACTTCGAGAGAATCAGCAACCGTTTAGGAAGAACGAAGCGTCTCTTGAATTTGCGCGAGGAAATACCGGAGGGTTACTTCCCCAAACTCGACAGCACTGTTGCTTCAAGAGTTTGGCCCGCTCGCGTACGCAACGCAACTTTAAGTGTAAGTCCCTGTTTATTTTCCAATAATAATATTTGCAGTCAGAGTTTACGGGTAAATGCTAATCGGAATTTGAACTGTTTGCGGCAGTTTAAGCATCTGCGTCTCTAATTTCAATTGCAAGTATTCAAATCAAATGAACTACCTACCTCCCAAGTAGCACAGATTGCGAAAAGTATAAAGCAATTGCATAGAAAAATATTACAATTCCACTGAGTGTTGTGTATGTTGCCTAGCTCCCATTTGAAGGGGCCCCATTTATTGAAACTTATTGCAGCAAAACTGAAATAAGTTGAAATTTTTCATTGCATTGCATATTGCCTATCTTCCTAACACATGAAGCTCATTTTGTTGATTGTTTAGAATCGGCATAAATCGACTAAATGATATAAAAATATTGAACTTTCAATAGCAAAAAACTTAAAATTGTATTGAAATCAAATTACAATTCGTCTAGTCAGTTGTTCTCAAGATATTGAGATATTAAAAAAATATCAACTGATGACCAACTTTCGACTTGATGAAAAAAAAAAAATTAAAGCACCTCATGATTTGTTTCTTTTATCCTCTCTGATAATGCGTTAAGTTTTTAAAAGTACTCGAAGTTGTTCGAAGTATAAATTCCAGTGATAAACATTTAAAATCCCTCAGTTTTTACTGAACGGCCAGTAGATCTATTCACTAAAAAGAGAGACAAAAAAAGGGGGGGGGGGAAAAAATCATTTTACTGGTTGCACCTATTTCGCCCCCAAACAGGCAATACAGTCATTTGGTAGTATCATTATTTTTAAAAATATTTACTTCATATTTAACCTGATCAAATTTCATTTCGTTGCTCTGACAGGACATCGACCGAGAAAGTGAACAGCTACAATTTGATATTGCGGATCTTGAACGCTGGCGGGATCGTATTTTGGAGGCCATTCACATGGGAGCAATAATTACTGTAAGTTGACCTCATCGTCATTATTTATTCGTTTTTGCTCAGGAAGTTCACCGCCGCTAAATTAATGCTTGTATGTCATACTCAAGGGTTGATAGATCGTTGCTTTGTATCCCTCAAGTTTATATACCCGGAGCGATTTCTTTTAACATGTATACCACTTAGGTAAGTCTTTTTAGTCATTATTAAAAGAGTTGAAGAACCGTACTGCTAAAAGGATCAAATTTTCAGGAATCATGGGGATTTGAATTCCTCATCATGATTAGACTTTTTTCTAGTTGAAATTTTAATTTTAAGAACGGTAAATATTCTATCAGCGACCGACTTTCCTCATTGTTTCATTTACCCACACGTGGATTTGCAAATCTCACGCGTAATTTTTATTTTACAGAGCGATGGATTACGGATTGAATTGGATGAAGCCAAAGGAATCGACATCCTTGGAAATATAATGGAATCAAGTATCTTGTCAGTCAACAGAGATTTGTACGGAGATCTTCACAACAGAGGTCACGTGGCTATTGCCCTTTGCCACGATCCAGACCATCGTTACCTGGTTGGTTTATATTTCTTCCCGATCAAGTCCTACTCAATTCTATTTTCCGTCAACTAGTACGTTGTATAGTTAAAAAATAGAAGAAAAAAACAAATCAACAAATGCTGCCTTCTAACAAACAACTCACAGAGATTCAATGCTAAGGGACTTAGCTCAACGATCAAGACTGGACGATGGATGAGCAAACATGACATTTCTGTGGTAGTGTTTTTGCCTACCAAAAAATTTGAAGGCGATTTCACGGATTCTCTATTTCGACGTTTGTGTCATTAGTTTCCCTATGCACATAAGTGTTTTTCTAGAAGAGCCAGAATTTATAGTTCCAAATTTCAAAATGCAGTCCAATTCATCCACCGCCCCCCCCCCTATTCTTACCATTAGGTCGTGAGAGTGTTCTGAGATCAGGTCTTTCTTATTTTTGTGCCAGTTGTTACCTATATTCTTAAATGTACTAATTTTCTCTTTACAGGAGAACATATCTGTGATGGGAGACCCAACTACAGCTATGAGGGATCCAGTGTTTTACCGTTGGCACGCTATGATCGATTACATATTCCAAGAGCACAAAAATAAACTCCCTCAATATACCGTGAAACAGGTATAAATCATACAATCAGCTATCATTAATGTGTATAATTATATTGTTTGTCACTTGCTCTCAAATTCAATTCAATCTATGAAAACTCAAAATTGAGTTCTTGAAACTGAAGCAGGGTATCTTACGAATAGTTTAAAATAAAAAACGCTCAACAACGTGAAGCCAAACAGGAGTTATGGCGGTTTGAAATTTGGAGTTAAAAAAACTCAGTTTCAAGAAAAATTTGTCTGAAATGCTCAGGGCACGAAATTGCTGGTTTTCTATGCAATTTACACGTAGTGGCGAGGCGTGAACGATCGATTATCGATATTCCCCCATTTGAAGCTATGCTAAAGAATCGATTATTAAGGTGCTCGTTGCGAAAACCCTGTTTATCGATCTTTTTCCATAGGTTTAAATGGCAGATCAATCGGTATATCGCAAAGCACGCTACGCCACTGATTACACGACCTGACAAAAATTTGAAATAACCCACTTTCTACATATAAGGACAGTAAACAGAGTATTCAATTGAAACTTCAAAATCTAATTTCTCCGCACCGAACGCAGCAAAAATCGCAGTGCTAAAAATTTCACCTTTCGTGGACTTCGGTCTTTTCCCCCGTAAACGGTCACTTTTTTCCCCTTCTTTTTCTTCTTTTCTTTTCTTTTTTTCTCGGGACAAAATTTCATCCGCTAAAAGTAAAATTCGCACTAGTTTTCACTTGGGTATCTCATCGTTTCGTTTTCACAGCTCACCTTCGATGGAATCAAAATCAACAACGTGGAAGTTCAAATTCAAAGCTCCTCTGCTCCGAAAAACGAATTCGCCACATTCTGGCAGCAAAACGACATCGATCTATCCCGTGGATTGGACTTTGCTCCGGGTGGCCAAATTCTGGCTCGTTTTACCCATCTCCAGCACGCTCCGTTCGTCTATAAAATACTCGTAAGTTTCTGCGGCAAATCTCTTTAGTCACTGCTCATTTAACGATTGAATTCCGATTTAACGATTGAATGTTTACAACGAACACATTTTTGTTGCAATCCTCATGTTTGAAAGGAAACACACGTATTCGGTGGTTCAAAATTTTCTATCAATCATTAACAACTGAGGGTGCATCATTCAACAAATTGTTATTTTACGGTTGCTTGAGCATGCCTTGAGAATAGAATAACTTAAGAGTAAGATAACTGTTTCTAAAACGTCATCTCGCATTTAATTTTTCGTCCTAAATGGGTGCTGTCAGGCATTGCGATTGAGCAGTCTAAAGCGCCTTCAATTTTTGCGTATGCAACGCGGACATCCCATAAGTGCGAATAGTTGTATCAAAGCGTTGCCACAAGCATATTAGTAACTACTCGGTGTTTCGTGGTTATAATATGTTTATGTTTGTTGTCTTGATGTAGAAAATAATTGAAAACTAATTGCCGGACTGTAAGGAAGAGAGATATAAAAATATCCGTAAACGACAACGTTGCCACATACTGCAGTTTGCGGAAACTTTGAAGGGGAAAATGTGCGTACTAATGTTTGCGAAACTTTTTCGGAAATATTTATCGGTGGAAATTTTGTAGGGGACGTTCAAAAAAATTACGCCCCCAACCTTTAAAATAGACTGATCTAAAAGTGTGATGCCCTACTTATGTGTATACATCATAAACCTGTTGATTTAATCATCAAACTTAGTTCCTTGTGTGATCTCAAGGACTCTAATGATCCGTTAAAGGACTATTTAGCAGAATTAAAAGATGAAATACGTTAGTTTTGCATTCGCATTTTAACGAAAAAATTATGAATTTTCGGCCTTTAGGACCATCAGTCCATCAAATGTTTCTTTATCTTGTGGAATTCTTCGATTTTTTTTCGCTCATCAGGTGGATAACACTAGCTCTGGCAACGTCACTGCAACTGTAAGAATTTTCTTGGCTCCAAAACAAGATGAAAGGGGAGTGCCATTCTTGTTCAACGATCAACGCTCTCTCTTCATTGAATTGGATAAATTTGTCACTACTCGTAAGTGTTTATTTTGAAAAGTATATATTCAATCTAAAAAAAATGAAATGATTGTATAAAATGAAATTGGACGTAAATGAGTTCATGCCCGTTCAGTCAAAATTACTTACTACCTGAGTTTTGAGTTATACTCGATCTACCCTTATTCTATCATGATTTCAATTGCAAGTTAATGATTTTTGCCGGCGAGACAGATTTCCGTAAAATTCTGAAATATTGATTAGACGGTGTCAAGAAGTTGGGCTAAGTTGAGTTGCAACATTGCAGCCTTTCCAAGACTGAGCTTTATTTTATTCATTTTTTAATTAAAATTTAGTTCGAAACATCGTGGATTTCATGATGGAATTGTATGATTTTTTATTTATTTTAACATCTACTTTCGAGAATGAGCGGGAAAAACTTGCTTTGGAGGATTCTAGTAAAATATTTCAGTAATGGGGTACCTAACGATTGTTTAGCGGGGAAAAGAAAAGATATTTTACATACAATTTTGCACGGGTGAAAGTCAAGCACGTTTCTTGGCAGAATGATTGGAGGCTTTGGATCATATACTGAAACTTCAATTGGACGTATTTCTGCCAAACGGAACTATGTGAATTAAGACATGAGCCCTAAGATTCATAAGAATATATGCATAACAGGGCTCACGCCATTATGCACATAGTTCCGTTTGGCAGAAATACGTCCAATTTTAGGAGCTAAGTAGGGGAAAGGCAACCCTTATCAAGTCAAAATGGAAAAAAAAGGTATTGGAAGTTTAATGCCTCCATGCATCGCTCAGTTCGAAATACTGATTGCATTCTTTTTTGCACGAGCTACATATATTTTATCACAATTTTCATTTCTTTCTTTGTGTCAGCGAATAATATTATCTGTTCAGTTTCAAACCTCTTAGCTCAAACCCTTACATTCCCCGAAAAATAGGACCTGCTCTCTTCTTGCGAGACTTGATTTAATGCCACTTCTATGTTCAAATCTTGCCACTTACCTACTTCGAATTTTCTGCAATTTTCAGTGAAGAAAGGTCAAAACCTGATTGAACGTCGCTCTATCGATTCAGCTGTGACTCTGCCGTTTGAATACACATTCCGAAACCTCTCGAATATGCCAACCTCCGGTCCAGAAGCAGAGAGATGGAACTACTGTGGCTGTGGATGGCCCCAACATCTTTTGATCCCGAAAGGATCGCCAGAGGGACTGCCCTGTGATCTATTCGTGATGATTTCCAACTGGGCTGAAGATAAGGTTAGTACTCAGTACACATAACTATAAATATTTCAATAAGTGAAAGAAGAAGAAGCAGAAGAAGAAGAAGAAGAAGAAGCGCGAGAAGTAGCGATTCTCGTTAGTTGAAAATAATACTGGGACTTGTCCATTTCATAGAGTACATAGAGTCGTAAATAATTTAAATTGGAGAGCTGGCGCCATGTCCTGCTCGACGAGTTCCGAGCCCGGTGTGCGCCGAGCTGTCACTTTTTCGATACATGTTCGATCCAATATGGTGGTGCGGAATACGTGGTAATTCCTATCTCTTTGTTTACATTGGATGGCCGGGCCCCCGTGTATCGATAACAGTCGATTGTGTATCGAAAAATAAACCCAGCGTCACAAAGGAGTCTCGAAATTCGGGACCCGGAAAATGCTTATATGTGGCACCAGCTCTCCCACTTACATTACGACTCCTTGAACTCTATGGTCCATTCACACGTATAAATCGATACTATTCAAGGCAGGCACGTCTCACTTGGAATCGATTATTTATACTGGGTATAAACGGAGGAATAACACTGTTTGTCAACATGCAAGAATCGCCGCTAGGGTGGTCAGTTCACTGCTGAGAGTGCACAGCGAAAGCGCCTTCATTCATTCGTATAGGCAACACGGGCAACCGTAAAGCCCGAATAGTTGTATTCAGCTCCTGTTACTAGCGCCGCGCTCGTCTCATGCGGTCGTCAGTGAAAGAACCAGTAGGCGGGTCGTATGAATTCATAAAATGTCACTCTACATGACTGAAAATTCCCCTGTTGTATGAAGGAAAGTCATTGATTGATTAATGATCATAATGGAGCAGGCAAAATTTAATATTGTAGATAGCTGAAAAGTTTCTCCGGGGAAGTCGAAACATTTATTCTGTGGTGAGGCTAATATTTAAAACCTGGAAAAAGAAGGGGAAAAAAGAAATCTCTTTGGAATTGCTAATAGCCTCTTTTCGCCCGCAGAAAAATACCTGTTTCATCAAAGGAGCTTTTAAAGGAACTTTGCATACTTATGTAACTTATTATGTATCTTTGGTACGCGTAAAGTCGGGCAGTCACCTATATAATGACAAAAAGAGTAATTTGTGCATTGTGATTCAATCATTCTGCTATTAATTATTTATCAAACTTCATACATAGAGGGAAAATTACAAGGTCATTCTTATTTTTTAAGATTGTGGGTCGATGATAATATATATTTCTTTTTAAAAAAAAAAAAAAAAAAAAAAAAAAAAAAATGGATGCACTCTCTGAAAGAAATAATTTCTGAAATACCTCGCAGTTTCGTATGAGAAGGAAAATTAATAATCAAACGATAATCAAGTAGAATGAAAGCGGTAAAATCGAAACATTTAATCCAACCGCGAGTTATTTCCTGGTTTCAAAACTGTCAAAGGCTGTCAGAGCTTGAAAATCATTATTCTGTATTAGTAGATGGCCGAATTCAATCAAAAAGTAGGTCAAAGCGGGCTATTGCGGAGGCGCTAATGAAATTGCTTGTATCCTTCGTTGCAATTGCGGCTCATTCCCATTTACAATTGGAAAAAAGCCGAAAAGGCATTTTCATTTCTTCCCGTGCGCTACATTCGCATATGCGAATATTGTGTGTCATCAAATTTAAGGTGTTCAGAGAAGGAACCTCAATTTTGAACGGCTTTTGTGAGCTTATGAGTCGATCTAAACAAAATAAACGAGACCAGCATGTTTTTCGTGGAGGTCACAGAAAAGAGTCAATAAGACTTATTTAAATAAAAAAGAACTATCAAAAAGGGTCAAAAATTATAAAAAACTCGACCCTACCTCAATAAATTCAATTTTGTGCTAGACGCGTTTCGAGGCTGTTGCAGCCCTCATCTGTAGCACGCCTCGAAGCGCGTTCATCACAAAATTGAAGTTATTAACGCTCCTACAGTCTACAGTCGAGTTTTTTTTAAATTTTTGACCCTTTTCTTTTAAGTCTTACCTTAATGTTCATAAGTCTCGGTTTTACAGTTTTAACAAAAGAAACTATGTCCATTCTGATATGAGTCCTAAGATCCATAAGAGTATGTGCACGACAGGGCTCACATCACAATGGATATAATTTCTTTTGCTTTAAATGCGTCCATTTCTGCTTCAATCCTATCCCTCCACCATCATACTAAGCGTTCGCTGCGTCTCCTCATCCCAGCGGACTGATTATTGACATTTATAGACAAAGCTATAGACAAAGCTGACATAGGGAGTATGGATCGCGATCCGATTGGTTGCAACTGGTGGTTCTTATAGACTTAGGGGGAAATGATGGACTAAGTGACGGGTCTCTTGTCAGTTGCCGTTAGTTTATCTATTACTTACTTCCTTTGTCCATCACAACCACTCGGTTCCACCAACATGATCCCATATCCTTTTTGTCTTCTTTGTCTCTCGCTTTGTTTATCAATTTCAATAACCGGCCCGCAGAGGGAACCCAATCTGGTTCTAGGTGGCGGTAGCCACCCCGCCCAATCCTAAAAAACTCCCCCTAAAAAGTTGACGACCAAGAAAATGCCCTTTCCAGCAACCTGTCTCCGTATCAATACTATTACATTTGATTTCGGAAGGTTTATATTCTCACGATGGGGTTGATTGCAGGTGGACGACGCGAAATCCGACGTCGGCTGTGACGACGCCAGCAGTTACTGCGGTCGAAGGGACAGCAAATACCCTGACAAACGTTCGATGGGCTTCCCGTTCGACCGTCGTCCCCGGCAGGGAGTCGCCAACCTCAAGCAGTTCTTGACCCCGAACATGTTCGTCCTGGACACGAAGATCAAGTTCACGGATCGGATCATCCCACCCTCCGGCGGAACCTTCAAACCCTCCATTCAAAGTAGCGGTAACCGGCCCAAGAATCAGCAGCAAAGCGGCAGCAGATCAGTCGAGTAGATATTTGAGCTTCAGTTAGGTATATATGACTGCATCCGGAGGTAATGCTAATATACTTTCAACAGCCTTGGGTTCGTAGAAAAAAAAAACCTCAGGACCAAAAATTGATTCATTTCGTCACTATTTTTTAAATACCCCCCCCCCCCCCCCCCCTACCCCTCCCCAAACAACATACCTGAAATCTATTAAACAGTCACTAATAAGAATTGTATTACCTGGAAAAAATGCTCGAGTTATGATAAATTTGCAGTTTTGTTGATTTTCATGTGAAAAGAAGTATGTATAAATAATTCTGAAATTAATTTTTAAATATTTTTTTTGCAAACCTTATTTTCATTTTATATCGGGAATTCAGTGTCTCAGCGAGTAGAAAGCAAGAAAGTAAAAGAGTGGGTGGACAAAAAAATCATGCCCTGAGTTTCAATGACAAAATTTTCAATTGTACATTTTTTTATAGTTTGAAAATACATAAAAAAAAACTTTAATTAAATTTGAGAATAATAAACAATGGCTGTGAAATAGGTTTAGGAATACACATGAAATTATAGAATTTTATATTTTAAATATTTTCAAAACGATTTTTCTATTATTCAACGACAATATTTCCTCCGCCTGTAGAGAGTGGAAAAAAAAATCCGTGTCGGATAACCTAAATGATTCCAGAACTGCTCGCGAACTTCAATGGTTATATCAATAAGTATAGTCATTACGCATTCGGATGAGACTTATTAGACCCTTGGTGCAGTCATCCTTACTTTCCTGGAGCTTTATGCATGCTTGAAAATACCTGATCAACTGACGGATCTCATCCAATACCATGTGATCCTATTTTTCCTAGTATGTCATCATGAATGTCAAATCTTTTCGATCAATCTACAAGTTTGTTGAAATAATTCAAAATATAATATTATATGCATTAATCGGATATGTTTTCATTACCGCTGACAATACTTTACCTCTGTTCTGCTATGATGTTTGAACATAATGCTTTGAATAATTCGAGCGGAGTGGGTGCAAGCAACATTATTTATTTTGATTGATGCTCCTCCACAAAGCGCACATCAAACACTGAAGTATTTCGATGGCTGCTTGCTAATACTGCCGTGATAACAAAGAGAGCAGTAAATAAATTTCTGCATGAACCATGATTAGAACATGTTTTTATGTGCCTCGAGGTTCATCCTAGCATGCACTTACTGCTCTTTTCGCTATCACGGCAGGTTATTTACTCTCAATAGGCCCGAATTAAAATACCAGAGGTCCCTGGTAAAAATTGGCAGTAGAATCTGTGTTCCAAAATACCATAGACCTACAGCCGACTGTAAGATTTCCAATAGCTTCTATAGCCGGCAACACAATTTCTTATAGACTTTTATAGCCGATGGCGATTAAGCAACAGCCTGACGATAAAGTGTATGCTATCCGTTACTAATTACGGATGCTAGGACTTAGATTGAGTTTTTGGACTACCGCTCTCTTTTTGGGCCGTAGTATCTTGATTTATTTTGCGAGGAAAGCTCCGTACTTTTGAAGGATGCCTGCCATTCCTAATATGTTGGAGCGCCTTCAATTTCGTACGATACTGTGCAATACCTCTGGTGTGAAATAGTTGCTTCAAGCGCCGTGGTGCGCTGCGGCGCAGCGCGGCGGGCGGGCAGCTAGCGCGAAACGCGCATTGGCGCCTACAAACCTAACAGGGATACTTCACGCATTGCGCAGTGCGTGAAGTATCCTTGTTAGGTTTGTAGGCGCCAGTGCGCCGCCGCTCCGCTTTGTGTTAGGCTCTAATATTTAATCTCGTGAAATCAGCGTTTTTCAACTCATGACTTTGAAATGTTTGCGCACTCTGTATGGATTTTTCTCATTTTAATTGATGAAAACAAATATGTAGTAAAGGAGAATATAATGTGCGTTTTGTAAATATTATGGTGATTCCGTACAAACTTAAGGATTTACAAAGCACACGAATTTCTACACACTTTCTTGTAGCCTTTTATAGCCGATGGCGAAAAAGCAACGGCTAGGCGATAAAGTGTAAAGCCCGGCGACAGGAACTATAGCCCGGCTGTTTAATTTTTTATCGCTTCGTGTAGCCCGGCCGTATGATTTTTTTCACTTTCTACAGCCAGCTATATGATTTTCTATCGCCTTCTTCAGTCGGCTATAAGAACTCCTATGGTATTTTGAAACCCAGCTCCTATCGCCAGTTTTTACCAGGGGTGCGATACAACTATATGAACTTCAACGTAGCTCTCATTGCATAACCATTGATTCGGAGGAGCAGTCGATTCCTACAGCGCGGTTGATTCGCGACACGGATCGCTGTGGGAGAGGGGGGGGGGAGGTTGAGGAAAGGAAGCTGTGTAGACGAGTATTTGTCATTCATCGGAGTTTTTACTTTTATTTCTGCGGGCTGATTATTGAAATTGATAGACAAACATGGGCGTAGCTAGGGGGGTCCTTGGGGAGGGCTGCCCCCCCCGAAATCTCGTGGCCCCCCCAGAATAACGGGATCCTTCATTCCTCACCCTCCCCCCGCTCTCTTCACCACGAGAGGTGGTCCNCCCCAGAGAAATTTCCTAGCTACGCCCCTAGGCAAAGCAATAGACAAAGAAGACAAAAAGGATACGAAGGGATCCTATTGGTGGAAGCGGGTGTTTGCAAGGAACAAAAGACGTAGGTAATAGACTAACTAACAGCAACCCACGAGAGACCCGATAGTTAGTCCACCATTTTATCTGTTTGTCTATAGGAACCACTCATTTCAACCAATAGGATCGCTCCAAACTCCCTATGTCTTCTCTGTCTATTACTTTTTCTATCAGTTTCAATAATCAGCCCATGGTATTGTGGCCTTGCCGTCGATGTAATGAAGTATTGATGAAGTAAAATGGCAAGTCTGCATTGTGAGTGCTTCGAAGTTTAAAATGTGGAAGCATTTTCGAGTAGAGGTTTGAGGAAGCTTGAAGAGACTTAATTTTCAGGGAAGTAATTCCAAATTTCTAACTGCGCCTTAAGGTATTCTCCGTGTATCTTGAAACATATCAAATGCGGTCACATTGTTAAAAAATACGCGTTTTCCTTCTTTCAATAACACCATATAAGTATTATTATGAGCCGAGTTTAATAGGACAAACTTGCGTCAAAGTTCGAACTGAAAAATGGAGCATTCAGGTTTAAGCCTCCATAATACTCAATGTCAGAGACACAAGTTAATAATCATTTTCACGTTCAAAACACTTTTTCTCAAAATGATTTTTTTGACGAGAGGAGATGAACAAATAATTAAATTCAAAATTACCTACTCGACAGTCACTTTTTTCCAAGATGGAACTTGAAGAGCCTCTGTTGAACTCAGTCTACGTGTGTATGCTCGGCAGGGAAAGTTCCAAACCGGAAAAATATATCAAAGGAAAGAAATAATGACGAATCCACCTTAAAGCTATGAGGGCCGTGGGACAAGATTTGGATCAATAACATTACATTTTCCTCTTTTTGAACAAAAATATCCCAAATAAGTGGTACAGTTTGCGATGAATTGAAGTTACACATGGTAAAATATTACCGCTTCTCTACCGTGCTGAGGATAAACGCCGTATGAGCTTTCAGACGCTGCCAACTTTCCTCTAATAGAGTATGCATTTTCAGGGAAATTTGTCATTATTTTTCTTTGAATTTTTCAGAGAATTTTACTCGCGATTTTTAAAGTTTTTGAACATTTCAAGTGGCACAACCCATGTTACTCTTTAAATATAAAAATATTGCCGGAGGAAATTTGGCAACTCTCGAATGTTCATACGGCGTTTTTCCTCACCACGGCAGTACTACTGTGTCTGATTGTGAGTGTTGTGTTTGTTGCCTATGCCTATTTACTAATTGAAGGGACTCCTCTATCGCCAACCATCCTCACACATGTATCTCATTTTGCATGATTGTTTTAAAATCGAAATCTATTCACTAAATGATGAAAACTGTTCATGATGAAGATGATTACTTTTTAATTGAATTAAATATTGTATGAGCAACAAATGCACCCTTTCACTCTCTATCGTAGCTGCCTCTCTGCAATCACGAAGTGCTTTCGATGCTCTCTGTTTAGTGCGATTTGGAGTTAAAGGAGAGTAGGATCGGAAAAGTGAATTTAATGTGAAGATAAAGCCATGCGCCGCCCCCTTGTTGCCCCTCATTAACGCCGAAAGAAGGGAGGGGGTGGTGAGTGAATACAAGGTGTTTTAGACCGCTGCACCAGGCTTTTTTCTCGGTTATTTTAGGTCGGATGAAGTCGGAGACTGCGGGGTTGAGTAGGGAATAATCCGAAGGAATTCGAATTTTATGGTTCTCAACCTCCTTTCCTGCCCTAGGTCGGGGAAGGGGGGTAGTGACTTTAAAAGTTGGAATTTCCCTTTAAATGTTTGAAAATTTAGGAATCACGGAAAATTTTACCCATAATCGATAATAGGAAATCCAAAATCGGACCACTTAGATCCAAAACATTGACCTGTGAAGGTGGGGAGCAGTCGCCCCCCCCCAAAAAAAAAATCCATATAGTTGAATTGGAGGAGATGCTTTAGAAGAAGGTGATTTCCTACGTGATCGACCACCAGAAATCCGAATTTGACAGTCCGGGCGTCCCCCCCCCCTCCCCCAAAGCATTTTCTAAAGGGAGGTTCGAAATTTTGGAAATTTTCCAGGAACACAGAGGCCCCCCTGCAGCACATCAGAAAATGTTTGAGGCGCTTGATCGGGACTGTCAAATTCGGATTTCTGATGGTCGGTTACTTTCGAAAACATATTTTTCCTGGGTCTCTACTTCAATTCAGCTATGTTGAATTTTGGGGAGGGTACCTTGATCCCCAACTTTAGGGGTTAATATTCCGAACAGATGTGGTCCGATTTTTGATTTCCTTACAAGTGGTGGGGGTATAATTTTTCATACTTCCTGAATTTGACGTAATAATTAAAACAATTATAAGGGACCCGAACATTTAAAGTCACGATCCCCCTTTTATAATCCGAGGGGACCAGGGGATGAGGGTTCGGGACTGTGAAATTTGGATACTGTTAGGTCGATTTCCTATTCAACCCCGCTGCCCTTAACTTCGGAAGACCCGTATCAGCCAAGAATGAAGCCTGATACGGGCGGTCTGGAACACCCTGTATAATACTTGCGGAATATTTCGTCAGATAGAGCTAGCATAGCTCGCCACCTGCCATGCAGTTTCAATAGCAACAATAGCGCACTCTAGTGGGAGTACCCGGAAACTACATCCCCAGCTGCTAATGCTGTGTGTTGTATGTTGCGTACTTTTCAGTCGCCTGTGGTTCCAGCGGCGAGGAATGTCTGTGCTCTGTGGGTCTGTGTTTTCTCATTGTTATTTCGCGTATTTTTGTTTTTGCTGAAAATGAGTGGCCAACACAGCTCTAGTCCCAGGCCTGCGAGGAAATTGGTAAGTCTAAACAATGAAATCATTTTTTGGCTAAGCTCACGGAATTGAACTCAATTGCACTGCTTTTGTAAGGTGAACGAAGACCATCGCGTCGCCATAATCTTTCGGTGTTTATGTCACGTAAATCCTTGATATCGTCTCTTCAGTTGGTTCTTGCTTTCATTAGCAAAATTACCACCCAGGTGAACATTAACTAATTTGAAATGAAGTGCTTCGGGATTCTCAACGTTACGTAGCTCTTACTTTCGGTATATTTTTCACATTTTACTTTCACTTAGTCGTGTGTTATATGTGTGTGCAGTGTCCTGATTCTCATAAATACCTCTGAATACCTACTCAATCCCTTGTAATATTTTGCCATCCGAGAGGAAATGGTAAAATCCCGACCATCGAATCTTCTAACCAAAGGTACTGGTCGGGAAGAGTGCTAGGAATTTCCTATTGCAAGTATATCATGTTTTTCTAGCTCTGCA